CCCAGGTGCCACGGGTCGACTGAGATGACTGGCTGATGCACCACCTGTGCCCCCTACTGTGCCAACCTGCTGTGCTTTAGCCACCCGGCGCTCCGCACGTTGTTCTGAGCGTCGCTCCTCCGCCCTCCGTTGTTGTTGGAGGGCGACTGCCTCCAACTGCCCAGTAGCATCCTTCACGAGCCTCCTCCACAGAGGCCGATCTTGACACCGCTGGTACCGGTCATCGGCAAGTCCACTCAGCTCCACGTCCTCCTGTACCACATCACTCCATCTCTTCTCTAGCCCGTGCCGCGCCCGCTTAGCCCCCTCAATCCGGCCGAACAAAAGCTGTTTCGGCATGCGGTGGCTGGGCATGCGGGCTACATGACCCAGCCATCGCAGCCTTGCCTGCCGGAGGAGCTCACCGATGGGACCCTGCCCAGATCTTTCAAGGATTTGTGAGCTCCTCACACAATCCAGTCTGGTTAAACCCAGGATGGATCGTAGGCAGGCCAGCCTAAATGTTTCTAACCGGCGAAGATGTTCCATTAGGGGGGTCCACGTTTCGCAAGCGTAGAGAAGGGAGGGAATGACCGTGGCCGAGAAGACCTGAAGCTTAGTGCGGAGCGACAGACCAGGTAGCTTCCACACAGCGTTACGCAACCGATGAAAAGATATTGCCGCTCGACTGATTCGGAGTGAGACCTCTGCTGTTAAACTGGAGCCAGTCATAAGCACACTGCCCAGGTATGGGAAACTCTCCACTCTCTCCACAACTGCCCCATCACCGATTGGGAGTTGTGGGGGTGGAGTGTCCGATGGTACACACACACACGTGCCTGCCTTATCAAGACTACGGTTTACACGGCGGCGCGCTTATCAGCACTGGGGTTTCAAAATGCTGTGGCGCGCGTGGCGTCTGTTTGAAAGGGCCCGCCATCTTGCACAGGTGGTGGTGGTGGTGGTTGTGGTAGTGGTTGTTGTGGTCTCGTTGTGGTTGGTGGTGGTTAAAGAATCGCGGCGAGAAATACAAAGTCGAGCACAGGTACGCCCCCTCCCCCACCTCTGCCGGCGCAAACGCCGAGCGGCCAGTAACAAACAGAGTCGTTGGTGAGTTCGAGCGAGGGCTGTTAGGTGGTGGTTCGTGTGATGAGATCCTGGGAAGAGCAGAGGTGGAGTTTGGTGGGTGGGTGGTGAGGTGAGTGAGTGGGTAGGTGAGCGAGTTGGTGGGTGGATAGGTGAGTCAGTTGGTAGGTGGGTAGGTGAGCGAGTTGGTGGGTGGGTAGGTGAGTCAGTTGGTGGGTGGGTAGGTGAGTCAGATGGTGGGTGGGTAGGTGAGCGGGTCGGTGGGTGGGTAGGTGAGCGAGTTGGTGGGTGGGTAGGTGAGTCAGTTGGTGGGTGGGTAGGTGAGTCAGTTGGTGGGTGGGTGGGTCTGTGGGTGGGTAGGTGAGCGAGTTGGTGGATGGGTAGGTGAGCGGGTCTGTGGGTGGGTAGGTGAGTGAGTTGGTGGGTGGGTAGGTGAGCGAGTTGGTGGGTGGGTAGGTGAGTCAGTTGGTGGGTGGGTAGGTGAGTCAGTAGGTGGGTGGGTAGGTGAGCGGGTCTGTGGGTGGGTAGGTGAGCGAGTTGGTGGGTGGGTAGATGAGTGAGTTGGTGGGTGGGTAGGTGAGCGGGTCTGTGGGTGGGTAGGTGAGCGGGTCTGTGGGTGGGTAGGTGAGTGAGTTGGTGGATGGGTAGGTGAGCGAGTTGGTGGGTGGGTAGGTGAGTCAGTTGGTGGGTGGGTAGGTGAGTCAGTTGGTGGGTGGGTAGGTGAGCGGGTCTGGGGGTGGGTAGGTGAGCGAGTTGGTGGGTGGGTAGGTGAGTCAGTTGGTGGGTGGGTAGGTGAGTCAGTTGGTGGGTAGGTAGGTGAGTCGGTGGGTAGGTGAGCGGGTCTGTGGGTGGGTAGGTGAGCGGGTCTGTGGGTGGGTAGGTGAGTTGAGTGGATGGGTGGGTAGGTGAGTGAGTGAGTGGGTTGGTGAGTTGAGTGCATGGGTTGGTAGGTGCGTGGATGGGTTGGTGAGTTGATGGGTGGGTAGGTGAGTTGATGGGTGGATAGGTGAGTCAGTAAATGGGTGGGTAGGTGAGTTGAGTTGATGGGTGGGTAGTTGAGTGGATGGGTTGGTGAGTTGATGGGTGGGTAGGTGAGTTGATGGATGGATAGGTGAGTCAGTAAATGGGTGGGTAGGTGAGTTGAGTTGATGGGTGGGTAGTTGAGTGGATGGGTTGGTGAGTTGATGGGTGGGTAGTTGAGTGGATGGGTTGGTGAGTGAGTGGATGGGTAGGTGAGTTGAGTGGATGGGTGGGTAGGTGGATGAGTGGGTAGGTGGATGAGTGGGTAGCTGGGTGGGTGGGTAGGTAGGTACCATAACTGGCAATGGTTACTCATTGTAATTTGTATACATTAATTAACACCCCCCCCACATCGCTCAAGAAGTGCTCACAAGTGATGCCATCACATCTACCACTCTAAGGAACGCAATTTGGCTGTCCGCCTGATTAAGCTGATCGTAATTACTGGCGAAACGTCGTACTCGGCTTGTAAATGTTGTGGCTTGGCTATCCAACACTTGTCTCCTGGACTAGTATACACTATACACTACACTATACACTACACTATACACTACACGATACACGAGTGCTGTACTAGTATACTACACTATACACTACACTACTATACACTACACGATACACTAGTGCTGTACTAATATACTACACTATACACTACACTATACACTATACTACACTATACACTGGTGCTGTATTAGTATATACTACACTATACACTACTATACACTACACAATACACTAGTGCTGTACTCGTATATACTACACTATACACTACAATATACACTAGTGCTGTATTGGATGTTAGCGTGTTAAGTCAAAGCTATATCTTTGTATTAGTTGTCAGTATCAAAGTATCAAAAGTAACAATTCGATTTGGCACCTTTTCTGGCCTCGCAACATATACAATATCAAGGGTATGTTCACAATGCAGACACGTGATTCCTTTTGAAGGTTAAAATCTATTTACGCAACACCTGTTTCATTGTCAGAAAGGGTACAAAACCTCTTTGTTATTTTTAATATTTTTTAAAGTTTGTGGTTATTCACCTCACGCCAAATTTATGTCAGCCTGAAGCCACTAGGCCTCTGTTGTTGCGTAGAAGCCTGTTTGAAGGCCCGAGCGTGAATGGAGTTCTACATTGCGCGCACAACTAATCTATATACACGTGTATTAAAGTGGTCAAACGCGTGCATCTGTTAACCGATGTAAAGTTAGCACGCACTTTTATATTGGACCTCGAGGTAAAACTTTTTATCGTCGTATTTCGAGGGGCCAAAAAAAGTGTTTTAGTAAGGCCGCAATTCCGAGCCCGCTTGGGCCTTTTCAAGGCTCCAGATGACTTATAACCAAACCCAATCTCATTACGTTTAAGTCTCTCAAACTTAACACGTTGTTACAACAAAAGGTAAGGTTTTATTTGAGGCATGAATCAATGTGCAAAGGAAACGTTAGTTAAGAGGGGGGTCACAAGACTTTGGGGACAACCCCTTGTCTCTTTGATTACGGCCTTAATGTCTCATTAGCCTAATGGGGTTAACATCTCAACACGACTATTGTTTGGTTTGCCAGAAAGGTGTACGCAAAAAAACCTCCCTATTCTTATTTTTCACGACTTTAAAGTTTGTTGTTGTTCACCTCACGCCAAAATTTACGTCAGCCTGAAGCTACTAGGCCTCTGTTGTTGCGTAGAAGCCTGTTTGAAGGCCCGAGTGTGTACTGCGTTATACATTGCGCGCAACAATGACGCAAACAAACGTGTATTAAGCTCATTAAACGCGTGCATCTGTTAACCGACGTTAAGTTAGCACGCACTTTTATGTATTGGACCTCGAGGTAAAACATTTGATCGTATTTCGAGGGGGCCAAAAAAAGTGTTTTAGTAAGGCCGCAATTCCGAACCGACTCGGGCCTTTTCAAGGCTCCAGATGTCTTATAACCAAACCCAACCTCCTTACGTTTAATTATCTAAAACTTAACACGTTGGTACAACAAAAGGTAAGGTTTTATTCAAAGCAGGAATTAACATCTGAACGTCTTTCCGTCTTAACATCTTATCATCTGGACATCTTATGATCTTAACATCTGAACATATCTTAACATCCTAACAGAAGCTTAACATATGAACATCTGAACGTCTTATCGTCTTAACATCTTATCATCTGGTTATCTTATCATCTCAACACCTTAACATCTGAAAATCTTATCTTAACAAAAGCTTAACATCTTAACACACCTCTCGCATGTTTTATTGCCAGAAAGGGGTAAAAACCTATTACTCTTCGCAACTTTGATACTGGCAGCAACATGTTATCGTCTTAACATCTTATCATCTGGACATCTTATGATCTTAACATCTGAACATATCTTAACATCCTAACAGAAGCTTAACATATGAACATCTGAACGTCTTATCGTCTTAACATCTTATCATCTGGACATCTTATCATCTCAACACCTTAACATCTGAAAATCTTATCTTAACAAAAGCTTAACATCTTAACACACCTCTCGCATGTTTTATTGCCAGAAAGGGGTAAAAACCTATTACTCTTCGTAACTTTGATACTGGCAGCAACAATGAATCCCTTTTTTAATGCGACCCTACTGGTGTGGTTGTTCAAGCGTGCAAAACATCGCCACTTGGGGAGAGAGACAAAGGCGGCCGGGAGTGGCGTAGGATCCGGCCACCCCCCCTCCCCCCCGTAAGCTCGCCGGTCCTGGGCCGCCTCTTAGGTTGACTCAGCCTTCAACGAGTCAGTAGCTGGTGCTGTGTTACAGTGTAAAAACATCGCCGCTTGGGGAGAAAGACAAAGGCGGCCGGGGGTGGCGTAGATCCTGTCGACCCGGCTTTAAACGAGCCGGTACTTGGCGCGGGCGTGCAAACGTCGGCACTATTGGGAGAGACAAAGGCGGCCGGGTTGTGTGCGCGGTGCCGGCCACAACAACAGCAACAACGGCAACAACAACAGCAACAACAGCCCTCCTCACAGGCGCCGGCCCCCCCCAACAACCGCGGCCCGCGGGAGGCCGTCCCGGGCGTTGACGGCGTTGGGCGTCTTCGCCGGCAGGCGCGCGACGATGCCCGGCGCTGACGAGGCGGCGATGCTCCGCTCCGTGCTGCTGTCGCGCCGCGGTGGCGTGGAGCTGCGGCGACTGCGCGCCGAGTTCCGGGAGCTCACGGGGCGGGAGCTGCCTGGCGGCGGCGGCGGCGGCGGCGGCGACGGACTCGAGTCGTACCTCGTGTCTCAGCCCGGCGTGGTCCGTCTGGAGCGAAGGAGCGACGGCACGGTGAGGAGGCGGAGGAGGGCGGCGCTCGCCGCAGACGAGGTGGTGGTGGCGGCGGCGGTGGTGGTGTTGGCGGTGGTGGTGTTGGCGGTGGTGGTGGTGTTGGCGGTGGTGGTGTTGGCGGTGGTGGTGTTGGCGGTGGTGGTGGTGGTCTAGAAACACACAGAGACACACAGAGACCCATTGAGACCCACAGAGACCTGTAGAGACCCACAGAGATACACAGAGACCTGTAGAGACCCACAGAGACCTGTAGATATCCACAGAAACCTGTAGAGACCCACAGAGATACACAGAGACCTGTAGAGACCCACAGAGACCTGTAGATACCCACAGAAACCTGTAGAGACCCACAGAGACCTGTAGAGACCCACAGAGAAACACAGAGACCTGTAGAGACCCACAGAGACCTGTAGAGACCCACAGAGACCTGTAGAGACACAGAGTCCCACAGAGACCCACAGAGACCCACAGAGACACACAGAGACCTGTAGAGACGCACAGAGACCCACAGAGACACACAGAGACCTGTAGGACCCACAGAGACAGATACCTTTAGAGACACACAGAGACCTGTAGAGACCCACAGAGACCTGTAGAGACCCACAGCATTGTAGAGACCCACAGACACCTGTGGAGACCCACAGAGACACTGAGACCTGTAGAGACCCACAGAGACCTGTAGAGACACACAGAGACCTGTAGAGACCCACAGAGATACACAGAGACCTGTAGAGACCCACAGAGACCTGTAGATACCCACAGAAACCTGTAGAGACCCACAGAGACCTGTAGAGACCCACAGAGAAACACAGAGACCTGTAGAGACCCACAGAGACCTGTAGAGACCCACAGAGACCTGTAGAGACACAGAGTCTCACAGAGACCCACAGAGACCCACAGAGACACACAGAGACTTGTAGAGACGCACAGAGACCCACAGAGACACACAGAGACCTGTAGGAACCCACAGAGACAGATACCTTTAGAGACACACAGAGACCTGTAGAGACCCACAGAGACCTGTAGAGACCCACAGCATTGTAGAGACCCACAGACACCTGTGGAGACCCACAGAGACACTGAGACCTGTAGAGACCCACAGAGACACACAGAGACCTGTAGAGACCCACAGAGACCTGTAGAGACCTGTATAGACCCACAGAGACACACAGAGACCTGTAGAGACCAACATAGACAACAGAGACCTGTAGAGACCCATAGAGACCTGTAGAGACCTGTAGAGACCTGGAGAGACCCACAGAGACCCACAGAGACACACAGAGACCTGTGGGGACCCACAGAGACCTGTAGAGACACACAGAGACCTGTAGAGACCCACAGAGACACACACAGACCTGTATAGACCCACAGAGACACAGAGACCTGTAGAGACCCACAGAGACACACAGAGACACACAGAGACCTGTAGAGACCCACATAATTGTAGAGACCCACAGAGACCTGTAGAGACCCACAGAGGCACAGAGACCTGTAGAGACCCACAGAGACACAGAGACCTGTAGAGACCCACAGAGACACACACAGACCTGTAGAGACCCACAGAGACACACAGATACCTGTAGAGACCTGTAGAGACCCACAGAGACACACAGAGACCTGTAGAGACCCACAAAGACACACAGAGACCTGTAGAGACCTGTAGAGACCCACAGAGACCTGTAGAGACACACAGAGACACACAGAGACACACAGAGACCTGTAGAGACCCAGAGACACACAGAGACCTGTAGAGACCCACAGAGACCTGTAGAGACACACAGAGACCTGTAGAGACACACAGAGACCTGTAGAGACACACAGAGACAAAGACCTGTAGAGACCCACAGAGACACACAGAGACATGTAGAGACCCACAAAGACACACAGAGACCTGTAGAGACCTGTAGAGACCCACAGAGACCTGTAGAGACCCACAGACACACAGAGACCTGTAGAGACCCACAGAGACCCACAGAGACACACAGAGACCTGTAGAGACCCAGAGTCCCACAGAGACCCACAGAGACACACAGAGACCTGTAGAGACCTGTAGAGACCCACAGAGACCCACAGAGACCCACAGAGACACACAGAGACCTGTAGGGACCCACAGAGACAGATACCTTTAGAGACCCACAGAGACACTGAGACCTGTAGAGACCCACAGAGACACACAGAGACCTGTAGAGACCCACAGAGACACAGAGACCTGTATAGACCCACAGAGACACACAGAGACCTGTAGAGACCAACATAGACAACAGAGACCTGTAGAGACCCACAGAGACCTGTAGAGACCTGTAGAGACCTGGAGAGACCCACAGAGACCCACAGAGACACACAGAGACCTGTGGGGACCCACAGAGACCTGTAGAGACACACAGAGACCTGTAGAGACCCACAGAGACACACACAGACCTGTAGAGACCCACAGAGACACAGAGACCTGTAGAGACCCACAGAGACACACAGAGACACACAGAGACCTGTAGAGACCCACATAATTGTAGAGACCCACAGAGACCTGTAGAGACCCACAGAGGCACAGAGACCTGTAGAGACCCACAGCATTGTAGAGACCCACAGACACCTGTGGAGACCCACAGAGACACTGAGACCTGTAGAGACCCACAGAGACACACAGAGACCTGTAGAGACCCACAGAGACACAGAGACCTGTATAGACCCACAGAGACACAGAGACCTGTAGAGACCAACATAGACAACAGAGACCTGTAGAGACCCACAGAGACCTGTAGAGACCTGTAGAGACCTGGAGAGACCCACAGAGACCCACAGAGACACACAGAGACCTGTGGGGACCCACAGAGACCTGTAGAGACACACAGAGACCTGTAGAGACGCACAGAGACACACACAGACCTGTAGAGACCCACAAAGACACACAGAGACCTATAGAGACCTGTAGAGACCCACAGAGACCTGTAGAGACACACAGAGACACACAGAGACCTGTAGAGACCCACAGACACACAGAGACCTGTAGAGACACACAGAGACCTGTAGAGACACACAGAGACACACAGAGACCTGTAGAGACCCACAGAGACCTGTAGAGACCCACAGAGACACTGAGACCTGTAGAGACCCACAGAGACACATAGAGACCTGTAGAGACCCACAGAGACACAGAGACCTGTATAGACCCACAGAGACACACAGAGACCTGTAGAGACCAACATAGACAACAGAGACCTGTAGAGACCCACAGAGACCCGTAGAGACCTGGAGAGACCCACAGAGACCCACAGAGACACACAGAGACCTGTGGGGACCCACAGAGACCTGTAGAGACACACAGAGACCTGTAGAGACCCACAGAGACACACACAGACCTGTAGAGACCCACAGAGACACAGAGACCTGTAGAGACCCACAGAGACACACAGAGACACACAGAGACCTGTAGAGACCCACATAATTGTAGAGACCCACAGAGACCTGTAGAGACCCACAGAGGCACAGAGACCTGTAGAGACCCACAGCATTGTAGAGACCCACAGACACCTGTGGAGACCCACAGAGACACTGAGACCTGTAGAGACCCACAGAGACACACAGAGACCTGTAGAGACCCACAGAGACACAGAGACCTGTATAGACCCACAGAGACACAGAGACCTGTATAGACCCACAGAGACCCACAGAGACCTGGAGAGACCCACAGAGACCCACAGAGACACACAGAGACCTGTGGGGACCCACAGAGACCTGTAGAGACACACAGAGACCTGTAGAGACCCACAGAGACACACACAGACCTGTAGAGACCCACAAAGACACACAGAGACCTGTAGAGACCTGTAGAGACCCACAGAGACCTGTAGAGACACACAGAGACACACAGAGACCTGTAGAGACCCACAGACACACAGAGACCTGTAGAGACACACAGAGACCTGTAGAGAGACACAGAGACACACAGAGACCTGTAGAGACCCAGAGATACACAGAGACCTGTAGAGACCCACAGAGACCTGTAGAGACCCACAGAGACCTGTAGAGACACACAGAGACCTGTAGAGACCCAGAGATACACAGAGACCTGTAGAGACCCACAGAGACCTGTAGAGACCCACAGAGACCTGTAGAGACACACAGAGACCTGTAGAGACACACAGAGACAAAGACCTGTAGAGACCCACAGAGACACACAGAGACATGTAGAGACCCACAAAGACACACAGAGACCTGTAGAGACCTGTAGAGACCCACAGAGACCTGTAGAGACCCACAGACACACAGAGACCTGTAGAGACCCACAGAAACCCACAGAGACACACAGAGACCTGTAGAGACACACAGAGACACACAGAGACCTGTAGAGACCCAGAGACACACAGAGACACACAGAGACCTGTAGAGACACACAGAGACCTGTAGAGACCCACAAAGACACACAGAGACCTGTAGAGACCTGTAGAGACCCACAGAGACCTGTAGAGACACACAGACACACACAGAGACACACAGAGACCTGTAGAGACCCACAGACACACAGAGACCTGTAGAGACACACAGAGACCTGTAGAGACACACAGAGACACACAGAGACCTGTAGAGACCCAGAGACCCACAGAGACCTGTAGAGACCCACAGAGACCTGTAGAGACACACAGAGACCTGTAGAGACACACAGAGACCTGTAGAGACACACAGAGACAAAGACCTGTAGAGACCCACAGAGACACACAGAGACATGTAGAGACCCACAAAGACACACAGAGACCTATAGAGACCTGTAGAGACCCACAGAGACCTGTAGAGACCCACAGAAACCCACAGAGACACACAGAGACCTGTAGAGACACACAGAGACCTGTAGAGACCCAGAGACACACAGAGACCTGTAGAGACCCACAGAGACCTGTAGAGACACACATAGACCTGTAGAGACCCACAGAAACCCACAGAGACATACAGTGAGGGAATAAAGTATTTGATCCCCTGCTGATTTTGTACGTTTGCCCACTGACATAAGAGATGATCAGTCTATAATTTTAATGGTAGGTTTATTTGAACAGTGAGAGACAGAATAACAACAACAAAATCCAGAAAAACGCATGTAAAAAATGTTATAAATTGATTTGCATTTTAATGAGGGAAATAAGTATTTGACCCCCTCTCAATCAGAAAGATTTCTGGCTCCCAGGTGTCTTTTATACAGGTAACGAGCTAAGATTAGAAGCATACTCTTAAAGGGAGTGCTCCTAATCTCAGCTTGTTACCTGTATAAAAGACACCTGTCCACAGAAGCAATCAATCAATCAGATTCCAAACTCTCCACCATGGCCAAGACCAAAGAGCTCTCCAAGGATGTCAGGGGCAAGATTGTAGACCTACACAAGGCTGCAATGGGCTACAAGACCATTGCCAAGCAGCTTGGTGAGAAGGTGACAACAGTTGGTGCGATTATTCTCAAATGGAAGAAACACAAAATAACTGTCAATCTCCCTCGGCCTGGGGCTCCATGCAAGATCTCACCTCGTGGAGTTGCATGAGAACGGTGAGGAATCAGCCCAGAACTACACGGGAGGATCTTGTCAATGATCTCAAGGCAGCTGGGACCATAGTCACCAAGAAAACAATAGGTAACACACTACGCCGTGAAGGACTGAAATCCTGCAGCGCCCGCAAGGTCTTCCTGCTCAAGAAAGCACATATACATGCCCATCTGAAGTTTGCCAATGAACATCTTGAATGATTCAGAGGACAACTGGGTGAAAGTGTTGTGGTCAGATGAGACCAAAATGGAGCTCTTTGGTATAAACTTAACTCGCCGTGATTGGAGGAGGAATGCTGCCTATGACCCCAAGAACACCATCCCCACCGTCAAACATGGAGGTGGAAACATGCTTTGGGGGTGTTTTTCTGCTAAGGGGACAGGACAACTTCACCGGATCAAAGGGACGATGGACGGGGCCATGTACCGTCAAATCTTGGGTGAGAACCTCCTTCCCTCAGCCAGGGCATTGAAAATGGGTCGTGGATGGGTATTCCAGCATGACAATGACCCAAAACACACGGCCAAGGCAACAAAGGAGTGGCTCAAGAAGAAGCACATTAAGGTCCTGGAGTGGCCTAGCCAGTCTCCAGACCTTAATCCCATAGAAAATCTGTGGAGGGAGCTGAAGGTTCGAGTTGCCAAACGTCAGCCTCGAAACCTTAATGACTTGGAGAAGATCTGCAAAGAGGAGTGGGACAAAATCCCTCCTGAGATGTGTGCAAACCTGGTGGCCAACTACAAGAAACGTCTGATCTCTGTGATTGCCAACAAGGGTTTTGCCACCAAGTACTAAGTCATGTTTTGCAGAGGGGTCAAATACTTATTTCCCTCATTAAAATGCAAATCAATTTATACAATTTTTGACATGCGTTTTTCTGGATTTTGTTGTTATTCTGTCTCTCACTCTTCAAATAAACCTACCATTAAAATTATAGACTGATCATTTCTTAGTCAGTGGGCAAACGTACAAAATCAGCAGGGGATCAAATACTTTTTTCCCTCACTGTAGTTGGTTGAGTAGGTAAGTGGGTGGTTGAATAGTGAGTGAGTAGTTTAACACGTAGGCTTTCGCGACCAATATTCATAATAAAGGTTTTTGGGTTAGATCGCGTTATTTATAAATGTGTCGTAACCCTCCACCACCCGACACGGCCAATCAGCAAAAAAAAGGTGTCACGTTGACAAAAGACAAAGAATTCACTACTTTAGCCCACCGGTGTGTTGAAGAGTGAATCCACATTTACAGTTTGAGTACGACGTTTCGCTGGTAAATACATCCAGCATCATCGGGCAATTCGCCAGAATGGTAAAGCCCTCGCTTGCTCCCGGTTTTATATAGAGCAGCAGGGTGACGTCATCACTTAACTCATCAGGTGCAGTGATTAGAGGCGGAGGGGGGGGGTATTGTAATTATATAATCGATTAGTAATCAGTCATTGGTTATGATTAGTAATGAGTTGTAGATTAGTAATTCTTTAAATCAAGATGTAATGTGTATTATTTAATAATACGCTTCCAGGCCGCACTAAGCCTGTAGCTGTCAGAGCGATTAAAGTTATTCTTGTTCCTCTCAACTTCAATGGATTCTCTAATTAGTCTTTGCCAGCAATAATTCGTTTTACACACCACCGCAACATTGTCAAAATCAATTGAGTGTCCTTGTTGACAAGCATGTTCTGCCACTGCCGACAGTTGTGTTTGAGATAATTTAATATTTCTCTGATGTTCTTTTAGTATTATTATGAGTGAGTGAGTAGTTGAGTGGGTGAGTGAGTGGTTGAGTGGGTGAGTGGGTGGTTGAGTGGGTGAGTGGGTGAGTGAGTGAGTGGTTGAGTGGGTGAGTGGGTGAGTGAGTGGTTGAGTGGGTGAGTGGGTGAGTGAGTGGTTGAGTAGGTGAGTGAGTGGTTGAGTGGGTGAGTGGGTGAGTGAGTGGTTGAGTAGGTGAGTGAGTGGTTGAGTGGGTGAGTGGGTGAGTGAGTGGTTGAGTGGGTGAGTGAGTGGTTGAGTGGGTGAGTGGGTGAGTGAGTGAGTGGTTGAGTCGGTGAGCGTGGTGGCTGAATAGTGAGCGGGTGACGTCGGTTCTAAATGTGGGGTGGGGAAAAAAAAAAGCGGAGGACCACGAATCAAAATCCACGTCCGGGTTGCCCATCGAACGCACGACCTCCTGTTGTACACCCGGCGCGGCGGTTAACATCCCCCCCCTTAGACCGCCGTGCCGCCCCTGCCAAATAATAAACTCGGCGCGGCGGCAGGCCGGCCGTGCGGTCGGCTCGGCGGCCCCTCCTGCGCAAGCGTCCGCGGGACGCGCCGGAGGGCCGAGCGCGTTGCCGCGGGCGACGGCCCGCGGCAACGCTGACGACACCTCGGCCGTGAGCGGCCCTCTCACACGCGCTCGCTCACCCGCTGGTCGGGTGAGAGATCCGACGGAGGAGGAGGAGGAGGAGGAGGCGGTGGCAGGTGCCGGTTAGCCCCGGCTACCCACCCATAGTCCCCCCCCCCGCCCGCCGATCCGTGCTGTGTGGCGCAGGTCGTGTGCCACGCGGTGGAGACGAAGGAGGTGGCCAGGGTCAGCCGGATGATCTCCGTCACCAGGGGCAAGACGAGCAGCCGGAGCAGGAAGTCGCTGCACGGTAGGGCGGGGCCTCCTCCTCCTCCTCCTCCCCTCGCCACTGCCCCATGCCCTGCCCCCTCCCCTCGCCACTGCCCCTGCCCCCTCCCCTCGCCACTGCCCCTGCCCCCTCCCCTCGCCACTGCCCCATGCCCTGCCCCCTCCCCTGCCCCCTCCCCTCGCCACTGCCCCCTCCCCACTGCCCCATGCCCTGCCCCCTCCCCTGCCCCCTCCCCTCGCCACTGCCCCATGCCCTGCCCCCTCGCCACTGCCCCTGACCCCTCCTCTCGCCACTGCCCACTCCCCACTGCCCCATGCCCTGCCCCCTCGCCGCTGCCCCCTCCCCTGCCCCCTCTCCACTGCCCCATGCCCTGCCCCCTCCCCTCGCCACTGCCCCCTCCCTACTGCCCCATGCCCTGCCCCCTCGCCACTGCCCCCTCCCCTGCCCCCTCCCCACTGCCCCATGCCCTGCCCCCCTTCCCGTGCGGTCGTGGTGGCTGCAGCGAGCGCCCCCGCCAAGTCCCCTCTGGGCTGCTCCGCGCGACGGGGGGGGAGCGCCGCCCCCGCCTCCTGGCGGCCTCGCGTGACCTCGACCCACTCGCGACCTCGCCCGACCTCCTCCTCCTCGTCGTCGTCCGCGAGAGGGCGCGTTCCCACCGTGGTGTTCAAGACGACGGCCCTGACGGCGGCTCCTCCCCCTCCTCCTCCTGGCCACGTGGACCTCGGCGGCGGCCGCGGCAGCACCGCAAATCCACCCTCCCTTTCCCGGCGTCTCGGCGACAGGTGGCACGTCGTCGTCGTCGCCGCTGCCATCGTCGTCGTCATCACTGTAGTCGTTGTCGTCGTCATTACTGTAGTCGTCGTCGTTGTTGTAATCGTCGTCGTCGTCGTCGTCATTGTCATCTGCCGAACCGAGTGAACGAACGTGTCGAACTGTCGTTATTAATTCGTCATCATCGTCATCGTCGTCATCGTCGTTATCGTCGTCGTCGTCGTCATTATTGTAGTCATCGTTGTTGTAATCGTCGTCATCGTTGTCGTCATTGTCATCTGCCGAACCGAGTGAACGAACGTGTCGAACTGTCGTTATTAATTCGTCATCGTCGTCATCATCGTCATCGTCGTCATCATCGTCGTCATCGTCGTTATCGTCGTCGTCGTCGTCATTATTGTAGTCATCGTTGTTGTAATCGTCGTCATCGTTGTCGTCATTGTCATCTGCCGAACCGAGTGAACGAACGTGTCGAACTGTCGTTATTAATTCGTCATCATCGTCATCGTCGTCATCATCGTCGTCATCGTCGTTATCGTCGTCGTCGTCGTCATTATTGTAGTCATCGTTGTTGTAATCGTCGTCATCGTTGTCGTCATTGTCATCTGCCGAAACGAGTGAACGAACGTGTCGAACGGTCGTTATTAATTCGTCATCGTCGTCATCATCGTGATCGTCGTCATCATCGTGATCGTCGTCATCATCGTCGTTATCGTCGTCATCGTCGTTAGTGTCGTCATCGTCATGGTCGTCATCTGCCGAACCCGAGTGGACGAACGTGTCGAACGGTCGTTATTAATTCATCATCGTCGTCATCGTCATCATCGTCATCATCGTGATCGTCGTCGTCATCATCGTTATCGTCGTCATCGTCGTTAGTGTCGTCATCGTCATGGTCGTCATCTGCCGAACCGAGTGAACGAACGTGTCGAATGGTCGTAATTAATTCGTCATCATCGTCATCATCGTCATCATCGTCATCATCTTCGTCGTCGTTATCGTCGTCCTCGTCATCTGCTGAACCGAGTGAACGAACGTAATTAATTCGTCGTCTTCATCGTCGTCGTCGTCGTCGTCATCTGCTCAACGGAGTGAAACTGCAGGAGCCCGAGGTCTGCGATTGTTCTCATGCTCATTTTCACTTGTCACGCTTTAGGCACGGAGATTCTGAAGGCTTTGAGAGTCGCCACAGAGCCTTGTCCAGCCCTGGCGTTGAAGGTCAGAGTGGTGAGCGTTGGGTCTGTGGGTTATCGAGTGGTGAGCGTTGAGTCTGTGGGTCAGAGTGGTGAGCGTTGAGTCTGTGGGTCAGAGTGGTGAGCGTTGAGTCTGTGGGTCAGAGTGGTGAGCGTTGGGTCTGTGGGTTATCGAGTGGTGAGCGTTGAGTCTGTGGGTTATCGAGTGGTGAGCGTTGAGTCTGTGGGTCAGAGTGGTGAGCGTTGAGTCTGTGGGTTATCAAGTGGTGAGCGTTGGGACTGTGGGTTATCGAGTGGTGAGCGTTGAGTCTGTGGGTCAGAGTGGTGAGCGTTGAGTCTGTGGGTCAAAGTGGTGAGCTTTGGGTCTGTGGGTTAGAGTGGTGAGCGTTGGGTCTGTGGGTTATCGAGTGGTGAGCGTTGGGTCTGTGGGTTATCGAGTGGTGAGCGTTGAGTCTGTGGGTCAGAGTGGTGAGCGTTGAGTCTGTGGGTTATCGAGTGGTGAGCGTTGAGTCTGTGGGTCAGAGTGGTGAGCGTTGAGACTGTGGGTCAGAGTGGTGAGCGTTGAGTCTGTGGGTCAAAGTGGTGAGCGTTGAGTCTGTGGGTTATCGAGTGGTGAGCGTTGGGTCTGTGGGTCAGAGTGGTGAGCGTTGAGTCTGTGGGTTATCGAGTGGTGAGCGTTGAGTCTGTGGGTCAAAGTGGTGAGCGTTGGGTCTGTGGGTTAGAGTGGTGAGCGTTGGGTCTGTGGGTTATCGAGTGGTGAGCGTTGGGTCTGTGGGTCAAAGTGGTGAGCATTGGGTCTGTGGGTTAGAGTGGTGAGCGTTGGGTCTGTGGGTTATCAAGTGGTGAGCGTTGGGTCTGTGGGTTATCGAGTGGTGAGCGTTGGGTCTGTGGGTTATCGAGTGGTGAGCGTTGGGTCTGTGGGTTAGAGTGGTGAGCGTTGAGTCTGTGGGTTATCGAGTGGTGAGCGTTGGGTCTGTGGGTTATCGAGTGGTGAGCGTTGGGTCTGTGGGTTATCAAGTGGTGAGCGTTGAGTCTGTGGGTCAGAGTGGTGAGCGTTGAGTCTGTGGGTCAGAGTGGTGAGCGTTGAGTCTGTGGGTCAGAGTGGTGAGCGTAGAGTCTTTGGGTCATCGAGTGGTGAGCGTTGGGTCTGTGGGTTATCGAGTGGTGAGCGTTGAGTCTGTGGGTTATCAAGTGGTGAGCGTTGAGTCTGTGGGTTATCGAGTGGTGAGCGTTGGGTCTGTGGGTCAGAGTGGTGAGCGTTGAGTCTGTGGGTTATCAAGTGGTGAGCGTTGAGTCTGTGGGTTATCAAGTGGTGAACGTTGAGTCTGTGGGTCAGAGTGGTGAGCGTTGGGTCTGTGGGTTATCGAGTGGTGAGCGTTGTGTCTGTGGGTCAGAGTGGTGAGCGTTGGGTCTGTGGGTTATCGAGTGGTGAGCGTTGGGTCTGTGGGTTATCGAGTGGTGAGCGTTGAGTCTGTGGGTTATCGAGTGGTGAGCGTTGAGTCTGTGGGTTATCGAGTGATGAGCGTTGTGTCTGTGGGTTATCGAGTGGTGAGCGTTGAGTCTGTGGGTTATCAAGTGGTGAGCGTTGAGTCTGTGGGTCAGAGTGGTGAGCGTTGAGTCTGTGGGTTATCGAGTGGTGAGCGTTGGGTCTGTGGGTCAGAGTGGTGAGCGTTGAGTCTGTGGGTTATCGAGTGGTGAGCGTTGTGTCTGTGGGTTTTGTTGTCAACACCGAGAATCAACGTGGTTTTTTTTTCCCCCCCAGTGCCCACGTTGAACTGGGGCCCTGTGAGATCCACGGAGCCAGTGATGGAGGTCAGTGTGGGCCGTGTACCCCCACCACGCTTACCGCTCCACGTGGGGTCCGCTCCTCGTCGATATTTCGGGCGAGGCCACGTTGGAGTCATCCCGGCCGAAATCCGTGTCATCGGGAACCCTCCAGCAACACGACGTAGCACTCACTCGACCGCTCGCTCGTTCCTCACCCACTCACTCGCTCGCTCGCTCGCCCACCCACTCACCCACCCACTCATCCGCTCGCTCACCCACTCGCTCACTCACCCACCCACTCGCTCGCTCGCTCGCTCACCCACTCACCCACCCATTCATCCGCTCGCTCACCCACTCGCTCACTCACCCACCCACTCACCCACCCACTCACCCGCGAGCTCGCTCACCCACTCACCCACTTGCTCACCCACTCACAATCGGCGAGCGTCACTAAATGCCCAGTCACCTGTTTCGCAGCATCACACTGTGGTTTTAACCAAACAGAAATATTTCGGAGGAAGAATTTTTTAAAACTACGTAATAACAATCTTTATTCAAACCTAATACTTGGTTATGTCTGCTCCATGGTGGACCTTGCTGGAAGGAGGTGGACTCGTGAACAGGTCTACCTTGGTCCATCATGAACCTACTATCTCCCAAGTCCACTCCACATTGACCATCACCCTCCTATCTCAGAGTCCACCCTTATTGGCCTGTCGGCCTCCTGTCAACCTCCTATTTGTGGACCGTACTTTCATGTCCAGGTCCACCATGATCGACTGTCCACCTACCACCAAGGGATTGTTCACCCCCCCCCCCTCCTCTCCCACCGTCGGTTCTTTGCCGTTGTCCACCCTGCGCAGGTGACGTCGGCGTCGTCTGTCCCCTCCACCGTCGCTGGGCCCCGCGCTCACTCGCCCCCCAGCGTGGAAACCATCACGCTCGCCCTGCGGAGGTGGACACTCACGGGTGGTGGCGGTGGTGGCGGTGGTGACCGTTGGTTGACACAGTCAGGTCGCCCCCAGGGAGAGGTGTCCACCCTGGGGGCACCGGAAGTGAGGCCTCCGATGAGGGCGAAGCTGTTCAGGAGTCCATCTCCTTCCTTAAGGTTTGCCGCTGTTGTCCACCATCAACCTTGCATCACCAAGTCCACCCACCTCGACCATCAACCTTGCATCACCAAGTCCACCCACCTCGACCATCAACCTTGCATCTCCAAGTCTACCCACCTCGACCATCAACCTTGCATCACCAAGTCCACCCAGCTCGACTATCAACCTTGCATCACCAAGTCCACCCACCTCGACCATCAACCTTGCATCACCAAGTCCACCCACCTCGACCATCAACCTTGCATCTCCAAGTACACCCACACTGACCATCAACCTTGCATCTCCAAGTCCACCCACCTCGACCATCAACCTTGCATCTCCAAGTCCACCCACCTCGACCATCAACCTTGCATCTCCAAGTCCACCCACCTCGACCATCAACCTTGCATCTCCAAGTCCACCCACCTCGACCATCAACCTTGCATCACCAAGTCCACCCACCTCGACCATCAACCTTGCATCACCAAGTCCACCCACCTCGACCATCAACCTTGCATCACCAAGTCCACCCACCTCGACCATCAACCTTGCATCTCCAAGTCCACCCACACTGACCATCAACCTTGCATCACCAAGTCCACCCACCTCGACCATCAACCTTGCATCTCCAAGTCCACCCACCTCGACCATCAACCTTGCATCTCCAAGTCCACCCACACTGACCATCAATCTTGCATCTCCAAGTCCACCCACACTGACCATCAACCTTGCATCACCAAGTCCACCCACCTCGACCATCAACCTTGCATCTCCAAGTCCACCCACCTCGACCATCAACCTTGCATCTCCAAGTCCACCCACACTGACCATCAACCTTGCATCACCAAGTCCACCCACCTCGACCATCAACCTTGCATCACCAAGTCCACCCACCTCGACCATCAAGCTTGCATCACCAAGTCCACCCACCTCGACCATCAACCTTGCATCTCCAAGTCCACCCACCTCGACCATCAACCTTGCATCTCCAAGTCCACCCACCTCGACCATCAACCTTGCATCACCAAGTCCACCCACACTGACCATCAACCTTGCATCTCCAAGTCCACCCACCTCGACCATCAACCTTGCATCACCAAGTCCACCCACCTTGACCATCAACCTTGCATCACCAAGTCCACCCACCTCGACCATCCACCTTGCATCGGCAAGTCCACCCACACTGACCATCAGCCTTGCATCTCCAAATCCACCCACCTCGACCATCAACCTTGCATCTCCAAGTCCACCCACCTCGACCATCAACCTTGCATCACCAAGTCCACCCACACTGACCATCAACCTTGCATCTGCAAGTCTACCCACACTGACCATCAACCTTGCATCACCAAGTCCACCCACCTCGACCATCAACCTTGCATCACCAAGTCCACCCACACTGACCATCAACCTTCTATCTCCAAGTCCACCCACCTTGACCATCAACCTTCTATCTCCAGGTCCGCCATGGTTGACTGTCCACCTTCCACCAAGATGAGCGCACGAGATCAACCTCACCGTCCAATCAGGGAGCCGGCCACTGTGGACCGTCCAATCAGGGAGCCGGCCACTGTGGGCCGTCCACTCAGGGAGCCGGCCACTGTGGACCGTCCACTCAGGGAGCCGGCCTTGATGAACCGTCCAATCAGGGAGCCGGCCACTATGAACCGTCCAATCAGGGAGCCGGCCGCTGTGGTCCGTCCACTCATGGAGCCGGCCTTGATGGACCGTCCACTCAGGGAGCCGGCCACTGTGGACCGTCCAATCAGGGAGCCGGCCTTGATGGACCGTCCACTCAGGGAGCCGGCCACTGTGGACCGTCCAATCAGGGAGCCGGCCTTGATGAACCGTCCACTCAGGGAGCCGGCCACTGTGGACCGTCCAATCAGGGAGCCGGCCAAGATGGACCATCCAATCAGGGAGCCGACCACTGTGGACCGTCCAATCAGGGAGCCGACCACTGTGGACCGTCCACTCAGGGAGCCGGCCTTGATGAACCGTCCAATCAGGGAGCCGGCCACTATGAACCGTCCAATCAGGGAGCCGGCCACTGTGGTGCGTCCACTCAGGGAGCCGGCCTTGATGGACCGTCCACTCAGGGAGCCGGCCACTGTGGACCGTCCAATCAGGGAGCCGGCCTTGATGGACCATCCACTCAGGGAGCCGGCCGCTGTGGACCGTCCAATCAGGGAACCGGCCACTGTGAACCGTCCACTCAGGGAGCCGGCCACTGTGGACCGTCCAATCAGGGAGCCGGCCTTGATGGACCGTCCACTCAGGGAGCCGGCCACTATGAACCGTCCAATCAGGGAGCCGGCCGCTGTGAACCGTCCACTCAGGGAGCCTGCCTTGATGAACCGTCCACTCAGGGAGCCGGCCGCTGTGGACCGTCCAATCAGGGAGCCGGCCTTGATGGACCGTCCACTCAGGGAGCCGGCCACTATGAACCGTCCAATCAGGGAGCCGGCCGCTGTGAACCGTCCACTCAGGGAGCCTGCCTTGATGAACCGTCCACTCAGGGAGCCGGCCGCTGTGGACTGTCCAATCAGGAAGCCGGCCGCTGTGAACCGTCCACTCAGGGAGCCTGCCTTGATGAACCGTCCACTCAGGGAGCCGGCCGCTGTGGACCGTCCAATCAGGGAGCCGGCCTTGATGGACCGTCCACTCAGGGAGCCGGCCACTATGAACTGTCCAATCAGGGAGCCGGCCACGATGGACCGTCCACTCAGGGAGCCGGCCACTGTGGACCGTCCACTCGGGGAGCCGGCCACTGTGGACCTTTGGTCTGCGGCCAGAAGCTGGGATGGACGGCTGACCCCCGCATCCCCCCTGGTGTCCTCCTGGCCGCCGTCGGGCTCGCCCGTCGAGCGCTGCGTGGACGTGCTGGTATCCAGCGCCAGGCACCCGGCGCTCTTCGCCGTGCAGGCCTGGAGCCAGCTGCACCGGCTGGAGCGGCTGGAGGCGAGAATGTGGCGCCACTATGGGAACCTCCGGGGCCACGGGCAGGCGGACGTGGCGGAGGAGGCGGAAGATGAAGAGGTGGCGGCTGAGGAGGTGGCGACTGAGCCGTCGTTCGTAGCCTGCGTGCAGGATGACCGGTGAGTGGTGTTGTGTATGTAGGTTATGAGAATTTGATGAGAATAATAAAAATTAAATGAAATTTGGAAAATTGCGTAATTATCCGAAATTATGTTAATTGATGTAATTATGTGCATAAATTATGCTAATCCAGGAGATAATCGTATTCATTTATGTGCGAGTGTGATTATGCTACTGCAAGCCGTTATGATAATCAGGCCCCGCCTCGCTGACGAGGGTCGGATTATCAATCGGGATCATGCAATTAACGTATGAAAGTATGCAGGTGTGCTGTAAGTATGTCAGATTAAACTCGGCTTTGTTGTTTAACTTCGTATTATTAATACAATTATTCTCGCTTTAACATTTGCTGAGTGTATGTGTGTTTATGTCAGGTCTCCAGATTCAGATCTCAACGCAGGATACAGCTCTTATGCATGAAATTTGCGGAAAGAAACACGCAACCACTTCTGCGTTAATCAATTTTATTTTCTAACTAAACTTTAACTCTAGAAGATGCAACTCCCGGCTTGGAATTCCAACACAGTGTCAACACGGTATCACCAACGACTGCGTCGTTTCACTCTGACAACGGCACATGTGACCCATTCCACTGCGTAACGCGAGCTCAGTTGGTGAGAGAGAGAGAGATGGAGTCGTTAAAACATACAGGCACGCTATTCTAACAAAAACCTTAATACTCTATTATGAATGATTATACTTGAATTGCTCACGCAGTACTGCACTCATTATTGATCATATGCAACCCTTAATGCAGTTCTTGTCACGTTGCTAACAGGGCAGCAGGCCGATTGATTATTATGCAACGATATTCATATGACAAGGCAATCAAACAATTATTAATTCCCAAAAGCACAAGTATCCGTCAATAGATTCGTCGAGAGAGCTAAGAATATGAATGCACATTACAATTCCTTATAGGGGGAAACACATATAATTAACGGATTACTAACATAGCATATAATCACTAACACACATTACAACTAATTACTAATCTACAACTCATTACTAATCATAACCATTAACTGATTACTAATCGATTATAGAATTACAATACCCCCCCTCCGCCTCAAATCACTGCACCTGAAATGAGTTAAATGATGACGTCACCCTGCTGCTCTATTTAAAACCGGGAGCAAGCGAGGGCTTTACCATTCTGGCGAATTGCCCGATGATGCTGGATGTATTTACCAGCGAAACGTCGTACAACTCAAACTGTAAATGTTGTGGATTCACTCTTCAACACACCGGTGGGCTAAAGTAGTGAACTATTTGCCTTTTGTCAACGTGACACTTTTTTTGCTGATTGGCCGTGTCGGGTGGTGGGAGGGTTACGACACATTTATGAATGTGTGAGTGTTGTTGATCTTCTTGCGTTAATTCTTTGCGCAAAGCAGACGCCAAGGTTGGGGGCATCCCTTGTATCAAAAATGTGTTTGTTCCCTGCGGGGAGCGGTGGGGGTGTGAGGGTGTGTGTGTCAAACGGACAGCGGGGTTTCCTCTGTCACGCGGTCGGCTGGAGTTCGGCTGATGCGGATTGACGAGTGGACACGGTGCTGTAGTCGCGGTGTTCCGTCGGTAGATGGCGCTCACTGGTTGCGCGCTCTCTAGCACCGTGCGCTCTCTGGTGGCTGCTGATTTTGCTCACGGGCGGCTGGTCAGGCTCTTTTCCGCTGCTGGATGGGCCAAGTCGCACGCGCTCTTCGCTGGTTCGCTGACCCTTTTGCTTGCGGGCGGCTGGTCAGGCTCTTTCCGCTGCTGGATGACTGCGCTCTCTCTGTGGAGATGCCCGAACGCGCTCTCTCTCTCTCTGGTTCGCTGGCAGCGGGCTCTGTCCGCTGCTGGATGGGCCAAGTCGGCACACGTTTTGCCGCTGGCGGCAGACGCTCTTCTAGATTTAAAGCTTTCGTGACTGCTAGGATCCATACTCTTTGGTTCTATTGGGTAAAGTCACGTAGGTGAAAATAAAATAACAAAAAAATAACAAAAAATCACGACGTTTTGGCCACAACACAAGCGGCCTTCATCAGGTGAAGGGACGAGACTGTCTGGAGGACAGCGCTGGAGTGGAAGAAGCCACGCTTAGATCACGACCTTTAAGCTGTGTGAGAAGAAAAAGACCAAGCCCCTTGACAAAGGAATTAGCATATAATTTAGCATTGAAATGGCTCATTGAAATAGCTAAGTTAAAGTATACACATCCGCAGAGGTACCCCTTGACAAAGGAATTAGCGCTGGAGTGGAAGAAGCCACGCTTAGATCACGACCTTTAAGCTGTGTGAGAAGAAAAAGACCAAGCGCCTTGACAAAGGAATTAGCATATAATTTCGCATTGAAATGGCTCATTGAAATAACTAAGTTAAAGTATACACATCCGCAGAGGTACCCCTTGACAAAGGAATTCGCTTTTGATTTTAAAGCTTTCTTCAACGTGACTTTACCGAAAAAACTAAGAATATAAAGGAATTAGCATCGAATTTAGCATTGAAATAGCTGAGTGATTAGCTTGTAACTGGTTACAGAAATAGCTATGTTAAAGTTAGAGCATATACATTCACCGAAGCACCTAGTACTCATCAAACAGGAGAATTTAGCGAAACACAACCACGCTCAGACATCGGACCTGTGTGCGAGCAAACAAGGTGTTCTGACAAAGAAATTAGCATAAAAATTAGCATTTGATTGGCAGATTTTAGGAAAGAGGTGGTGTACGTGCTGGTGGATTTGCAGTTTGGCGCGGGGGTGGGGGTAAAGGGGGAGGGGGAGTTTACCTATTGATGGTGTGAAAAGCAATTCAGATCTACAAACACAGACACAATTTCAACTGAGAGGATGGTTTCAAATTAAGCAACCATTGGAAAGATTTTGATTTAAAGCTTTCGTGACTGCAGTAATTCATATTCTTAGTTTTTTCGGTAAAGTCACGTTGAAGAGAAACAACAAAATAACAAAATATATATAAAACAATAAAAAAATTCTCACGACGTTTCGACATTAACTCAAACGGTCATCATCAGGTGTGTCGGTTTGCATAAATTTATTTTGAAAACGGCATATTTATATATATAAAAATAACGTTTGCGTCACGCGCAACGATTGGCTGTTTGCCAGGACTAGTCCATCTATTTTTTGAAAAGAGGAGGGGGGAGACGAAATTTGTTTTTATGTATGCTGTCTGAAAGCCACTGTAAGCGTGAACAATCAATCAAGAACTGAAATGATTTATCAAATCTTTCCAATGATTGCTAAGATAGAATCCATCTTCTCGGTTGAAATTGTCTCTGTGTTTGTATATGTGGATAGCCTCATGAACGAATCTCTCATGGAAGCCAGATGGCTTACAAAGAACCTCCGTCTTGGAAAAGTCAATGGCATGTGAGCCTACTGAATTAGAACAATGATCTGCTACGGCCGAGGTGTTGGTCCTACCGTGTTTAAGGTCTGCTTTATGTTCACGAATGCGGTCCGAGATATGGCGTTTGGTTTCTCCAATGTAACTACTACCACAGAGGCAACTTAGTTTGTAGACACCAGGGTATTGTATGTCCGGAATCACATCTTTTACAGACGGAACCAGATCACGGATTTTATGTAATGTGTTGAAACGGACCTGGATCTTGTGTTTATTCAAGATTTTGGAGATCTTTTTTGTGATCCCAGCAATGTAGGGTAAAGTGATGGTTTTGAAAGGCTCCTCAAGAGGGTTCTTCTTCATGGTTTGAGTGATAGCTTTGCGGATTGTATAGTCGGAGTAACCATTAGCCCTAAGAGCTTGGTGTACGTGCTTGAGTTCACTGCTTATGTGTTCCTGGTCAGATATGCATTGGGCTCTATGATACAGAGTCTTGATGAGAGAATTCTTCTGTGATGGATGGTGGTGGGAATCCGGTTTCAGATAAGCATCCGTATGGGTAGCTTTCCTGTAGACAGAGTGGCTCATTGAACCATCAGGTCTCTTTTTAATTAGGACATCCAAAAAAGGTATCTTGTCATCTGGCCACATGGCCGGCCTGCTCTAGACCAATTCTTCGACCACATCAATTCCATACACCCAGCCATCAGATTTACCATGGAAGTCGAAATAGATGGCAAGATACCTTTTTTGGATGTCCTAATTAAAAAGAGACCTGATGGTTCAATGAGCCACTCTGTCTACAGGAAAGCTACCCATACGGATGCTTATCTGAAACCGGATTCCCACCACCATCCATCACAGAAGAATTCTCTCATCAAGACTCTGTATCATAGAGCCCAATGCATATCCGACCAGGAACACATAAGCAGTGAACTCAAGCACGTACACCAAGCTCTTAGGGCTAATGGTTACTCCGACTATACAATCCGCAAAGCTATCACTCAAACCATGAAGAAGAACCCTCTTGAGGAGCCTTTCAAAACCATCACTTTACCCTACATTGCTGGGATCACAAAAAAGATCTCCAAAATCTTGAATAAACACAAGATCCAGGTCCGTTTCAACACATTACATAAAATCCGTGATCTGGTTCCGTCTGTAAAAGATGTGATTCCGGACATACAATACCCTGGTGTCTACAAACTAAGTTGCCTCTGTGGTAGTAGTTACATTGGAGAAACCAAACGCCATATCTCGGACCGCATTCGTGAACATAAAGCAGACCTTAAACACGGTAGGACCAACACCTCGGCCGTAGCAGATCATTGTTCTAATTCAGTAGGCTCACATGCCATTGACTTTTCCAAGACGGAGGTTCTTTGTAAGCCATCTGGCTTCCATGAGAGATTCGTTCATGAGGCTATCCACATATACAAACACAGAGACAATTTCAACCGAGAAGATGGATTCTATCTTAGCAATCATTGGAAAGATTTGATAAATCATTTCAGTTCTTGATTGATTGTTCACGCTTACAGTGGCTTTCAGACAGCATACATAAAAACAAATTTCGTCTCCCCCCTCCTCTTTTCAAAAAATAGATGGACTAGTCCTGGCAAACAGCCAATCGTTGCGTGACGCAAACGTTATTTATATATATATATAAATAAATAAATATGCCGTTTTCAAAATAAATTTATGCAAACCGACACACCTGATGATGACCGTTTGAGTTATGGTCGAAACGTCGTGAGAATTTTTTATTGTTTTATATATATTTTGTTATTTTGTTGTTTCTCTTCAACGTGACTTTACCGAAAAAACTAAGAACATTGGAAAGATGTTCTAAATCGAACTAAACATTAAACTAATTTCAATGGTACAGTATTTTTCAAGTAGTGGTACCCCAAACTTTCGCAGCTCTTATAAATTCCCCCTTTTCACACCATCAATAGGTAAACTCCCCCTTTCCCCCCACCCCCGCGCCAAACTGCAAATCCACCGGCACGTGCACCACCTCTTTCCTAAAATCCGCCAATCAAATGCTAATTTTTATGCTAATTTCTTTGTCAGAACACCTTGTTTGCTCGCACACAGGTCCGATGTCTGAGCGTGGTTGTGTTTCGCTAAATTCTCCTGTTTGATGAGTACTAGGTGCCTCGGTGAATGTATATGCTCTAACTTTAACATAGCTATTTCTTTGACCAGTTACAAGCTAATCACTCAGCTATTTCAATGCTAAATTCGATGCTAATTCCTTTGTCAAGGGGTACCTCTGCGGATGTGTATACTTTAACTTAGCTATTTCAATGAGCCATTTCAATGCTAAATTATGTGCTAATTCCTTTGTCAAGGGGCTTGGTCTTTTTCTTCTCACACAGCTTAAAGGTCGTGAACTAAGCGTGGCTTCTTCCACTCCAGCGATGTCCTCCAGACAGTCTCGTCCCTTCACCTGATGAAGGCCGCTTGTGTTGTGGCTGAAACGTCGTGATTTTTTGTTATTTTATTTTCACCTACGTGACTTTACCCAATAGAACCAAAGAGTATGGCAGACGCTCTTGCTCGGTGCGTCGGTTGCGCTGCAGCTGTGAGCCGGCACCTGATGTGGAAATAAAAGTCTTTTGAGCGATACTTAGCCTTCCAGCTCTGAACTCGCGCTCGTTGGCGCCTCGCTACTCGGCGAGCCTCGCCATTCTCAGTTGACCGCGGGGCCACCCCGGGCCTGCCGGGCGCCGCACTCTTCTGCAGCCCGCCGGGCTGACAACTTGTTGAACTCGCCGTTCCTTGTTGGACTGAACTTTTGAGATGATGGTTGAGCCGTTACATTTGAAAAGAAATCTCCGCTCTGCGCAGTGGGGGGGGGGGGGGGGGGGGGGGGTGGTCTGTGTGTGTGTGTGTGTGCATCCGTGTGTGTGTGCATCCGTGTGTGTGTGTGTCCGTGATTCAGGATATGTCTGTGAACTGTCAAAAGTCAAGCGGGTCATGGTATGTGGTCCTTCGGCAGTCTGGAGATCCTCCAGATAGTCGTTGACCTTCCTTCGCCCCGGAGTTTATTCATTATTAATCTTTTTAATGGACTTTTTACGGTCTACATCTGCTGTTTGCTGGGTCCTTGGTTTGTGTGTTTTTATTTATTATTTCGGACACAATAAAAAATGTATCGGCGAATATTATTGATATCGATTTTGGAAAAGGCCTATATATCCAACAATGGGCAGCGGTGAGGGGGACGCGGTGAGGGGGATGCGGTGATGGGGACTCGGTGAGGGGGACGCGGTGAGGGGGACTCGGTGAGGGGGACGCGGTGAGGGGGACGCGGCGAGGAGGATGTGGTGAGGAGGATGTGGTGAGGAGGATGTGGTGAGGAGGATATGGAGAGGAGGATGTGGTGAGGAGGACGTGGTGAGGAGGACGTGGTGAGGAGGATGTGGAGAGGAGGATGTGGTGAGGAGGATGTGGTGAGGAGGACGTGGTGAGGAGGACGTGGTGAGGAGGATGTGGAGAGGAGGATGCGGTGAGGGGGATGCGGTGAGGGGGATGCGGTGAGGGGGATGTGGTGAGGAGGATGTGGTGAGGAGGATGTGGTGAGGAGGATGTGGAGAGGAGGATGTGGTGAGGAGGATGTGGTGAGGAGGACGTGGTGAGGAGGACGTGGTGAGGAGGATGTGGAGAGGAGGATGTGGTGAGGAGGATGTGGTGAGGAGGATGCGGTGAGGGGGATGCGGTGAGGGGGATGCGGTGAGGGGGATGTGGTGAGGAGGATGTGGTGAGGAGGATGTGGTGAGGAGGATGTGGTGAGGAGGATGTGGTGAGGAGGATGTGGTGAGGAGGATGTGGTGAGGAGGATGCGGTGAGGGGGACGTGGTGAGGAGGACGTGGTGAGGAGGACGTGGTGAGGAGGATGTGGTGAGGAGGATGTGGTGAGGAGGATGTGGTGAGGAGGATGCGGTGAGGGGGATGCGGTGAGGAGGATGTGGTGAGGAGGATGCGGTGAGGGGGACGTGGTGAGGAGGATGTGGTGAGGAGGACGTGGTGAGGAGGACGTGGTGAGGAGGATGTGGAGAGGAGGATGTGGTGAGGAGGATGTGGTGAGGAGGACGTGGTGAGGAGGACGTGGTGAGGAGGATGTGGAGAGGAGGATGTGGTGAGGAGGATGTGGTGAGGAGGATGCGGTGAGGGGGATGCGGTGAGGGGGATGCGGTGAGGGGGATGTGGTGAGGAGGATGTGGTGAGGAGGATGTGGTGAGGAGGATGTGGTGAGGAGGATGTGGTGAGGAGGATGTGGTGAGGAGGATGTGGTGAGGAGGATGCGGTGAGGGGGACGTGGTGAGGAGGACGTGGTGAGGAGGACGTGGTGAGGAGGATGTGGTGAGGAGGATGTGGTGAGGAGGATGTGGTGAGGAGGATGCGGTGAGGGGGATGCGGTGAGGAGGATGTGGTGAGGAGGATGCGGTGAGGGGGACGTGGTGAGGAGGACGTGGTGAGGAGGACGTGGTGAGGAGGATGTGGTGAGGAGGATGTGGTGAGGAGGATGTGGTGAGGAGGATGCGGTGAGGAGGACGTGGTGAGGAGGATGTGGTGAGGAGGATGTGGTGAGGAGGATGCGGTGAGGGGGATGCGGTGAGGGGGATGTGGTGAGGAGGATGTGGTGAGGAGGATGTGGTGAGGAGGATGCGGCGAGGAGGATGTGGTGAGGGGGATGTGGTGAGGAGGATGTGGTGAGGAGGATGTGGTGAGGAGGATGTGGTGAGGAGGATGTGGTGAGGAGGATGTGGTGAGGAGGATGTGGTGAGGAGGATGTGGTGAGGAGGATGCGGTGAGGAGGATGCGGTGAGGAGGATGTGGTGAGGAGGATGTGGTGAGGAGGATGTGGTGAGGAGGATGTGGTGAGGAGGATGTGGTGAGGAGGATGTGGTGAGGAGGATGTGGTGAGGAGGATGTGGTGAGGACGTGGTGAGGAGGACGTGGTGAGGAGGATGTGGTGAGGAGGATGTGGTGAGGAGGACGTGGTGAGGAGGATGTGGTGAGGAGGATGTGGTGAGGAGGATGTGGTGAGGGGGATGTGGTGAGGAGGACGTGGTGAGGAGGATGTGGTGAGGGGGATGTGGTGAGGGGGATGCGTGTCGCTCTCCCTCAGGGTGTACCGTGTGGAGCTGAAGTGCGCTTGCCCGCCGGGCAAGGCCATGGTGTACCGGGTGGACTACGGCGAGTGGGACCTCGTCCCCTTGTCCACCCTGCGGCCCCTCGTCCCGGCGTTCACCCGGCTTCCCGTGCAGGCCCACCTGGCCCAGCTCGCGGGTGAGGCCCCCGGGTGTCCCCCACCCCCGGGTGACCCCCACCCCCGGGTGACCCCCCCCCCCCGGGTGACCCCCCCCCCCGGGTGTCCCCCCCCCTACCCCCAGGTGTCCCCCACCCCCGGGTGACCCCCCCCCCCGGGTGTCCCCCCCCCTACCCCCAGGTGTCCCCCACCCCCGGGTGACCCCCCCCCCCCCCCCCGGGTGTCCCCCCCCCCAGGTGACCCACCCCCGGGTGTCCCCTACCCCCGGGTGACCCCCCACCCCCGGGTGTCCCCCCCCCCCACCCCCGGGTGTCCCCCCCCCTACCTCCGGGTGTCCCCCCCCCTACCCCCGGGTGACTCCCCCCCCGGGTGACCCCCCCCCCCCGGGTAACCCCCCCCGCCCCCCCCCCCACTCCCCGGTTCCCCCCCCCCCGCTGACCGCCGTGAATGTCCGCTCCGCCTCCCGCCCTCAGACGTCCCCTGCAGGCGCTGGTCGCCGGAGCTCAGCCAGGTGTTCAGGAAGCTGGTGGAGGGGCGGCCGTTTGTGGCCCGCGTGGAGGGGGCGGGGGGCGACCCGGCGGGGCGAGCGCCCAGGCTGAGGGTGTCCCTGGTGGACACGTCCCATCCCGAGCGGGACGTCGTCATCGGCCAGGTCATGATGGGATTCGCTCGGGATTGGTGACGAGGAGGACGAGGAGGAGGACGAGGAGGACAACGAGGAGGAGGACGAGGAGGACGACGAGGAGGAAGAGGAGGAGGACGATGAGGAGGAAGAGGAGGAGGACGAGGAGGAGGACGATGAGGAGGAAGAGGAGGAGGAGTGCAGCGTCGTCCCACGCACAGCATCGTCGCCACGCGCAGTGTCACGCACAGCGTCATCACACGCACAGCGTCGCCACACGCACAGCGTCATCACACGCACAGCGTTATCACAGCGTCATCCCACGCACAGCGTCATCCCACGCACAGCGTCGTCACAGCGTCGTCCCACGCACAGCGTCATCACACGCACAGCGTCGTCACAGCGTCGTCCCACGCACAGCGTCGTCACACGCACAGCGTCATCACACGCACAGCGTTATCACAGCGTCATCACACGCACAGCGTCATCACAGCGTCGTCCCACGCACAGCGTCATCACACGCACAGCGTCATCACGCGCACAGCGTTATCACAGCGTCATCACACGCACAGCGTCATCACAGCGTCATCACACGCACAGCGTCATCACACGCACAGCGTCATCACAGCGTCATCACACGCACAGCGTCATCACACGCACAGCGTCATCACACGCACAGCGTCGTCACACGCACAGCGTCATCACATGAACAGCGTTATCACAGCGTCGTCGCCATGCACAGCGTCGTCGCCATGCACAGCGTCGTCGCCATACGCAGCGTCATCACCACGTGCAGCGTGACCACGTGCAGCGTGACCACGCACGTCATCACATGCGCAGCGTCATCACACACACAGCGTTATCACTCGCACAGCGTTATCACAGCGTCATCACACACACAGCGTCGTCGCCATACGCAGCGTCATCACACGCACAGCGTTATCACAGCGTCATCACACGCACAGCGTCGTCACACGCACAGCGTTATCACAGCGTCATCACACGCACAGCGTCGTCACACGCACAGCGTTATCACAGCGTCATCACACGCACAGCGTTATCACAGCGTCATCACACGCACAGCGTCATCACACGCACAGCGTTATCACAGCGTCATCACACGCACAGCGTCGTCACACGCACAGCGTTATCACAGCGTCATCACACGCACAGCGTTATCACAGCATCATCACACGCACAGCGTCATCACACGCACAGCGTCATCACACGCACAGCGTCATCACACGCACAGCGTTATCACAGCGTCATCACACGCACAGCGTCATCACACGCAGAGCGTCGTCACACGCAGAGCGTCATCACATGAACAGCGTTATCACAGCGTCGTCGCCATGCACAGTGTCGTCGCCATGCACAGTGTCGTCGCCATACGCAGCGTCATCACCACGTGCAGCGTGACCACGCACGTCATCACACACGTCATCACACGCGCAGCGTCATCACACACTGTTATCACAGCGTCATCACACGCACAGCGTCGTCACCACGCGCAGCGTTATCACAGCGTCATCACACGCACAGCGTCATCACACGCACAGCGTCATCACATGCACAGCGTCATCACACGCACAGCGTTATCACAGCGTCATCACACGCACAGCGTTATCACAGCGTCGTCGCCATGCACAGCGTCGTCGCCATACGCAGCGTCATCACCACGTGCAGCGTGACCACGCACGTCATCACACATGTCATCACACGCACAGCGTCGTCGCCATACGCAGCGTCATCACACGCACAGCGTCATCACATGCACAGCGTCATCACACGCACAGCGTCATCACATGCACAGCGTCATCACACGCACGGCGTCATCACGCGCACAGCGTCGTCGCCATGCGCAGCGTTATCACAGCGTCATCACATGCACAGCGTCATCACACGCACAGCGTTATCATAGCGTCATCACATGCACAGCGTCGTCACGCACAGCGTCGTCACACGCACAGCGTCATCACACGCACAGCGTTATCACAGCGTCATCACACGCACAGCGTTATCACAGCGTCATCACACGCACAGCGTTATCACAGCGTCATCACACGCACAGCGTCATCACACGCACAGCGTCATCACACACACAGCGTCGTCGCCATACGCAGCGTCATCACACGCACAGCGTTATCACAGCGTCATCACACGCACAGCGTTATCACAGCGTCATCACACACACAGCGTCATCACACGCACAGCGTCATCACACGCACAGCGTCATCACACGCAGGGCGTCATCACAAGCACGGCATCGTCGCCACGCGCAGCGTCATCACCACACGCAGCGTGACCACGCACGTCATCACACGTCATCACACGCGCAGCGTCGTCACACGCAGAGTCCTCACACGCACAGTATCATCACCACGTGTTGCGTCATCACGCACAGCGGCCGCCCCGGTTGATGCCGCCTGCTGGACTGACCGCGGCGATACTCGGCAGGACCCTCTTTTGAATCGTCTTGAGACTCGGCGAGGCGAACCCAACGGCACCCGCAAGCTTTTTGCGAGTCACTCCACGTTAACCAGGGCTGCCTCGGGGTCCCGAACCGCGACCCTCTGTAGCAGGCCGGTGTTAAAACGCGCTTAACCGCATGGCCACTCGAATCATCATCATCATCACTGCCACCCACCCCCCACCACTTCTTTAATCGCATGAGAAAATAATTTCGACGCTTTTGTTGTTCCGTGCCGCGCTTATTTTTGATGTTTGTTGACTGTGTTGAAATACACGTGGCGATGGCAGGCGCGAGTCTGCGTGTCGGTTCATCCAACGGGGCCGCGGGACGTTCTTATTGCACGGCGCTGCGAACCTGGAAACGCTCCCGAGTTCGAGTCCCCTCCGTGGCGAACATCGGTGGCGAGCGATGCCTTTCACAACCTGTTCCGCCCACCCCCTCCCCAACCTTCGCCAACCCTCATTGACGAGCGTGGCGAAGCATGGTCACGTGATCACCACCAGCGGTGGTCACGGCGCACGTGGCCGCTGACCAGTCACTGTGGAGGCAGGCAGCGAGGGTTGGTGGATTGCACACGGATGGGCTGTGTGGAGCCGTACCCCTGGCTCTGGTAGCAGAGGGCGTTCTGGCAGAGTGTGTGGACTAATCTCCATCTGTTCCATCTCACTCCCTTCTAACACCGTGTGTGGACTAATCTCCATCTGTTACATCTCACTCCCTTCTAACACCGTGTGTGGACTAATCTCCATCTGTTCCAGCTCACTCCCTTCTACCACGTGTGTGGACTAATCTCCATCTGTTCCATCTCACTCCCTTATACCACGTGTGTGGACTAATCTCCATCTGTTCCATCTCACTCCCTTCTACACCGTGTGTGGACTAATCTCCATCTGTTCCATCTCGCACACTTCTACCACGTGGGTGGACTAATCTCCATCTGTTCCATCTCACTCCCTTCTACACCGTGTGTGGACTAATCTCCATCTGTTCCATCTCACTCCCTTCTAACACCGTGTGGACTAATCTCCATCTGTTCCATCTCACTCCCTTCTACACCGTGTGTGGACTAATCTCCATCTGTTCCATCTCACTCCCTTCTACCACGTGGGTGGACTAATCTCCATCTGTTCCATCTCCCTTATACCACGTGTGTGGACTAATCTCCATCTGTTCCATCTCGCACACTTCTACCACGTGTGTGGACTAATCTCCATCTGTTACATCTCACTCCCTTCTACACCGTGTGTGGACTAATCTCCATCTGTTCCATCTCACTCCCTTATACCACGTGGGTGGACTCATCTCCATCTGTTCCATCTCACTCCCTTCTACCACGTGGGTGGACTAATCTCCATCTGTTCCATCTCACTCCCTTCTACCACGTGTGTGGACTAATCTCCATTTCCATCTCACTCCCTTCTACCACGTGTGTGGACTAATCTCCATCTGTTCCATCTCACTCCCTTTAGTCCACACACGTGGTATATCTCCATCTGTTCTATCTCACTCCCTTCTACCACGTGTGTGGACTAATCTCCATCTGTTCCATCGCACACACTTCTACCACGTGGGTGGACTAATCTCCATCTGTTCCATCTCACTCCCTTCTACCACGTGTGTGGACTAATCTCCATCTGTTCCATCTCACTCCCTTCTACCCCTGTGTGGACTAATCTCCATCTGTTCCATCTCACTCCCTTCTACACCGTGTGTGGACTAATCTCCCATCTGTTCCATCTCACTCCCTTCTACACCGTGTGTGGACTAATCTCCATCTGTTCCATCTCACTCCCTTATACCACGTGTGTGGATTAATCTCCATCTGTTCCATCTCGCACACTTCTACCACGTGTGTGGACTAATCTCCATCTGTTCCATCTCACTCCCTTCTACCACGTGGGTGGACTAATCTCCATCTGTTCCATCTCACTCCCTTCTACACCGTGTGTGGACTAATCTCCATCTGTTACATCTCACTCCCTTCTACACCGTGTGGACTAATCTCCATCTGTTACATCTCACTCCCTTCTACACCGTGTGTGGACTAATCTCCATCTGTTCCATCTCTCTCCCTTATACCACGTGGGTGGACTAATCTCCATCTGTTCCATCTCACTCCCTTCTACCACGTGGGTGGACTAATCTCCATCTGTTCCATCTCACTCCCTTCTACCACGTGTGTGGACTAATCTCCATCTGTTCCATCTCACTCCCTTTAGTCCACACACGTGGTATATCTCCATCTGTTCTATCTCACTCCCTTCTACCACGTGTGTGGACTAATCTCCATCTGTTCCATCTCACACACTTCTACCACGTGGGTGGACTAATCTCCATCTGTTCCATCTCACTCCCTTCTATCACGTGTGTGGACTAATCTCCATCTGTTCCATCTCACTCCCTTCTACCCCTGTGTGGACTAATCTCCATCTGTTCCATCTCACTCCCTTCTACACCGTGTGTGGGCTAATCTCCATCTGTTCCATCTCACTCCCTTCTACACCGTGTGTGGACTAATCTCCATCTGTTCCATCTCACTCCCTTCTACCACGTGTGTGAACTAATCTCATTAAGTCTGTCAAGGCTACACGGGTGACCTTTGTCTTTAGTTCATAGAGTGCTAACCGCTAACAGCACTTGCCCCCAACTGACCGTTAAGGCTACCCGGGGGACCTTTGGCTTTGTGGTCCCTTCCCTGAGATATCGCGAGACTTCACCCCCCCACCCCCCACATCTCGCGAGACCCGCCAGCAAAGATGGCAAACCCTCACGGAGGTGAACATCTCTCTGTGTGTTGGTGGTGTTGTTGTTGGACTTCTCCCCGTTCATTCGTCTCGCTCATCTTTGCTAAGAACTCTTAGCGGCTCTCCTCGTTAAGAGAACAACAAATCACTCTCGCTTCGCGTCTCCGTCGTCAGCCGCCCCGATGTCGAGGAGGTCGGCGGCGGTGGGTGGGTGGATGGCGGGCGGGCGGGAGGTTTGGGGGGTGAAGCCGCTAGGAAAGCCGCAGGCTCGAGATCTCCGTCGCCAGGGGCCCCCTCCACCGCGGTGCATTGAGCGGGAAGACGCAAAGCTGAAAAAAAAAGATTTAAAATAAAATAAATTTCCTTTTGTTATAAGCCCGAGACGAAGGGGAAAGCGCGCGGTTGTATTGGGGCGCGCTGGATGGGGTCATCAAGAGGGCCGGGGGCATCGCATCGGTTTAGGAGGCCTTTGAAGCGTCTTGCTTGGGCGGTGTGAATCTGTTGGTTGGATGGCCTTGTACATGGTCGGATATCTCCGGCGTTAAATCGATATTCTGATGTTGATTGTTACGTTATTTGTGGTGGTGGTGGTGGTGTCGGTGGTGGTTTTGATGATGGTGCGGTAGTGGTGATTGCAATGGTGGTGATTATTGAGGTAATGGTGGTGGTGGTGGTTGTTGCTATGATTATGGGGGTGGTCACGAATGATCTGGTTATTATATTATTATGACGGTAATGGTTTGATTGATATGATGGTGAAGATTGGAATGTGCTTTTTTTTTGGGGGGGGGGGGTGGGATCAAGGTAGTGGGGGGGGGGAGTGTGATGATATTTAGTGCGGATTGCGGTTCTGATGATTATTATCGCATAATGATGCTTCTCCCGTTTGCACTGCTGATGCCTGCCTGCTTATGGTGCAGCTGTCACAGCGGGCTATGATGTTGGTTCTATTAATCCTGCTGCTGCTACTGCTGCTGCCGCCTATGATGATCTTGCTACTGGCTATCCTGCGGTAGCGAGATGTTAACTACCTCGCCTGGTGTACAGGAGTGGGGGTGGGTTTGAACCCGACCCTGACGCCTGCTGGATATTTGGGAGTTTGCGTGTTCTCCCTAGTGGTCGCGTGGATTTTTCTCCGGGTCCTCCGGTTTTCCCCACCACATTTAGAAACGCGCCTTTAGAATGATTCGCTGTTATACATTACCGCATGATAAGCCACTTTATTGGGCTATCATTTGTGGCCAGGTCGCTTCTGAAAAAGAGCTATATAGCTCAGTGGACCTTACCTGCTAAAATAACAAAAATGTTTACTTTAGTACTGCTCTTATTGCTGCGATTAACACGGTTGGCTATGCATGGTGCGAAAGAAGTTTAACATTGATTATCTTGCAACCTCTGATGCTGCTGTTGATGCCGATAATGCTACTCCTCTTGCTACCGAATGATGCTCATGCCACTGCTGATGATGATGATGCTACTGCTGCCAGTATTCACAAATCCGCTTGTGCTGTGTACAGTTGGATCAGCGATCCCCCCCCTCATCCCTGGCCTGCATAAGAGAGCAGCGCTACTGAGTCCCCGCTTCCCCAGTGAGTCCCTCATGGGGGGGGGGGGGGGTGGCGTCATTGATAGAGACTCGCACAGAGACCAATAGACTCACACAGAGACTCATAGACTCACGTGTCCGCCCGTAAACCCACACATAGACCCACAGACTCGCACAAACCCACAGACTCACCCAGAGACCCATAACCTCACAGAGAGACCCATAAACTCACGCCGAGATCCATAGACTCACACAGAGACTCATAGACTCACAATGATACCTGCAGACTCGCATAGAGACTGGCAGACTCGCATAGAGACCCGTAGACTCGGAGATGTAACTTTACATAGAAGCTCATACGTACAGAGGTCCATAGCGTCACACAGAGATCGATATAAAAACTTGTTTATTTACCAGGTAACACCCACTGAGCAATGTAGCTCTTTTTCAGAAGCTACCTGGCCACAAATGATAGCTCAACGAAGTGGCTTATCACGTGAAAATTGTATAGCAGCCAAATACTCAAAACCAGTGGTTCTTCTTGACGTGGGGGTGCGAGACATGGCAATATTTTTGTTAGAAGGTAAGTCATCAAACAAAAATTAAGCACAGGCACGTGAGTACAATCAAACCTATGTATTAACATATTTTTCTACGATTGAGAACCAGAGGGGGTGGAAGGCTGCAATAAAGGTTAAGAACCACTGCTGTTAACGAATGTTTCTTAACGTGCAGGGAAAAACCGGAGGACTCCCCCAGATAGCCTCACACACACAGACCCCGAAGACTTACACAAAGACACATCGACAGACACTCCATAGACTCGACTGCCCCACGCTGTCCCGGTGCCACGGTAACGCTCCCGCTCTTGTCGCCCTGCAGTGCTGGGGAGTCCTGCTATGGGCCGCGGGGGGCTCCTGCCTTCGCCAAACCGGTGAGTTTCCCCCATTGGACTCCGGTCTCAACCAACAAGGCAATGGTGCAATTTTGAGTCTATGGTGCAGTGTTGAATCTATGGTGCAGTGTTTTGAGTATTTGGGCAGTGTTGAGTCTGTGGATTGTCGAATCTATCATGCAATATTGATTCCGGTGCAGTGTTGAGTCTATGGTGCAGTGTTGAGTCTATGGTGCAGTGTTGAGTCTATGGGTAGTGTTGAGTCGATGGGCAGTGCTCAGTCTATGGGCAGTGTTGAGTCTCTGGATAGTGTTGAGTCTATGGTGCAGTGTTGAGTCTATGGTGCAGTGTTGAGTCTATGGGCAGCGCTCAGTCTATGGGCAGTGTTGAGTCTATGGGCATTGTTGAGTCTATGGGCATTGTTGAGTCTATGGGCAGTGCTCAGTCTATGGGCAGTGTTGAGTCTATGGGCATTGTTGAGTCTATGGGCATTGTTGAGTCTATGGGCAGTGCTGAGTCTATGGGCAGTGCTGAGTCTATGGGCAGTGCTGAGTCTATGGGCATTGCTGAGTCTATGGGCAGTGCTGAGTCTATGGTGCAGTGCTGTGTCTATGGGCAGTGTTGAGTCTATGGGCAGTGTTGAGTCTATGGTGCAGTGTTGAGTCTATGGTGCAGTGTTGAGTCTATGGGCAGTGTTGAGTCTATGGGCAGCGCTCAGTCTATGGGCAGTGTTGAGTCTATGGGCAGTGCTCAGTCTATGGGCAGTGCTGAGTCTATGGGCAGTGTTGAGTCTATGGGCATTGCTGAGTCTATGGGCAGTGCTGAGTCTATGGTGCAGTGCTGTGTCTATGGGCAGTGTTGAGTCTATGGGCAGTGTTGAGTCTATGGTGCAGTGTTGAGTCTATGGTGCAGTGTTGAGTCTATGGGCAGTGTTGAGTCTATGGGCAGCGCTCAGTCTATGGGCAGTGTTGAGTCTATGGGCAGTGCTCAGTCTATGGGCAGTGCTGTGTCTATGGGCAGTGCTGAGTCTATGGGCAGTGTTGAGTCTATGGTGCAGTGTTGAGTCTATGGTGCAGTGCTGAGTCTATGGTGCAGTGTTGAGTCTGTGGTAGGGGGGACTGCTCAGTGTATTCACAGCACACTGCAGACCTCTTAGCCGAGACCCTACCTACTACGGCAGGTACCGTGACCCCACGTGACGCACGGGGGCGGGCTCACCGTGTGCGTTGTGTGGCGACGGCGCAGGTTCGTCTCTCCCCACGACTCGTTTGATCGCGGCGGCGGCGGCGGCGGCGGCGCCGTCCCGGTCCACTACCGCGCCGTGGGAATCCGCCCGCCGCTCATCCGGGCTCCGCCGCTCATGGGAGTCGTCCCACAGCCTCCCCAGCGCCTCCCGTCCCTGCTGCCGGGACGCATGGTGCCCGGCGCTCCGATCTCGATCCACCCGCTGCTGGTGAGGCCTTCACTCTACGTCCCGGCGCCCCTCGCCTAGGCCGACTCGGCCTCCCAGCAAGCGCCTGGCGAGGCAATGCGTAGTCAACGTCGCCCCCGGCGGGCGATGGCAAACGCGGCCGAGCGTGGTGCCGGGCCACCCACCGCTCCCTCCCCCCCGCCTCTTGTTGCCGTGTCGGCCTTCGTAGGGCGCTCGATCACGGCGCTTGCCCCAACGCTCTTTTTAAGGCTACACGGGGGGGGGGATCTTTGTTTTTGTCTTGTGGTTGTGTTAATGTGCGAGTGTGTGCGAGTGCAGCGGGTAGATGCCGCCGCGCTACGAACAGGGGCTGCGACACCTCGGCTTTAAATGTTAAATGAGTGAACCTCGTGCGGGTCTGTGTGTGTGTGTGTGTGTGCCCGTCGGTGTGTCGAACGCCGCCACTGGGGAGGTGAAGGCGGGTCGGCCGTGATGCTGGCCACACAACCCGTTCGCGCGTCGTGTTGGACTTGATGGGGTGCTCCCCGAACAAGCCCGCGGGTGTTTGGCCCCCAGTCGAGTTGTTTGCAGCGAACGTTGCGACATTTCGGGATGTTTTGGCCGATGCCGGTCATGCTGTGTTCTCCGAGCTCATGGGAGGGAGCCCGGGGGAAGCCGAAGCCAACCCATGCCGATCGGGGAGGAGGGGACATACGGTCACGGTGGCTAGGGAGATGTTAACTCTCTCGCCCGGTATACAGGAGGTCGTGGGTTTGATCCCGACCCTGACGCCTGCTGTATTATTTGGAGTTTGCGGTGTCTCTCTCTTATCATCATCACGGTGGCTATGAGATGTTAAATACCTCGCCCGGTATGGAGGAGGTCGTGGGTTCGATCCCGACCCATGACACCTGCTGTATATTTGGGGTTTGCGGTATCTCTCATCGTCATCACCACGGTGGCAAGGAGATATTAACTACCTCGCCTGGTATACAGAAGGTCGTGGGTTTGATCCCAACCTTGACGCCTGCTGTATATTTGATAAAATACGAATCGGTTTTACCCTTTCTGGCAATAAAACAGGGAGGTGTTAAGATGTTCAAACACCAAATATAATCCTTTTGCAAGGAATCAAGTTACTGCATTAACCACACACAGTACTTGTGGTGAACGTGCAAACAAACTTACTCTGATACTGTTTGATGCATTGTCTTTGATAATAATATAATTGTAATGTTACATGCATTGTCTTTAATAATAATGTAATTGTAATGTTACACGAATTGTCTTTGAAACTCATTGGGCCTACACCAGAAACAGCAGCAGCCTTAAATTTTGATTTAAAGCTTTCGTGACTGCAGGAATTCATATTCTTGGTTCTTTCGGTAAAGTCACCACGTAGAAGGGAAACAATAAAATAATAAAAATATAAAACAAAATTCTCACGACGTTTCGACTGCAACACAAGCAATCATCATCAGGTGTGAAAACCGCCACTTTTTTCAAAATTTTCTTGCTGTGGTTTTCACACCTGATGACGATTGCTTGTGTTGCAGTCGAAACGTCGTGAGAATTTTATTGTGTTTTATATTTTTATTATTATTTTCTTGTTTCCCTTCTACGTGGTGACTTTACCGAAAGAACCAAGATTATATTTGTCTCATTAGACCTCCTTTGCCAGTACCAAAATGTAATAATAGGGTTTTTCCCCTTTTTTTATTACATGTTGGTACTGGCAAAGGAGGTCTAATGATGTAGATGCTCACCCCGAGCCCTCATTACTTTGATAGTGGCATTGTCTTTGAGCTGTGTGACGCCTTTTGGCGTCATCTGGTCGAGCACCAATTGGGTCGAGGCTCAAAAGAAAGCCGTCCCTTGGTGTGGACCAATCAGTTTCAAGGACAATGCCACATATATTATCATAGTGTGTTTTTTGTTTGCATTTTGACTGCAGGTATTGTGGTTAATGCAGCAACATGAATCCTTGTAAAAAGGTTTCAGTTTTGTTGCCAGAAAAAAGGGGAAAACCCCTATTATTAATATATTTGTCTTTTGTCAACGTGACACTTTTTTTGCTGATTTGCCGTGTCGGGTAGTGGAGGGTTACGGCACATTTATAAATAACGCCATCAAACCCAAAAACCTTTATTATGAAAATTGGTGTCTGTTTGTGTTTCTCACTTGTGATGGGACTTTGCGGGATAAACGTTGAGATTTACAAGGGGCACGGGGGGTAGACCAATAAGTCACTGCATTAACTACACGCAGTACTTCTGAACGTGCAAACAAACTTACTCTGATACTGTTTGATGCATTGTCTTTGATAATAATATAATTGTAATGTTACATGCATTGTCTTTAATAATAATGTAATTGTAATGTTACACGAATTGTCTTTGAAACTGATTGCGGCCTACACCAGAAACAGCAGCAGCCTTCTCTATGGCTTAGCCTCACTAGCAGTGTCAGTAGACCAAGTAAAATGTCAAACCTCAAAAAATAAGTAATAATTAAAGAAAACTTTTTTTCAAACCACGCTTTCATGAAATGTACCGTACTAGTAATGACAGAACTCCACGACTCCAGGAATTGGCCCTGAAGCTTGCCATAACGTAAGGGGGCCCGTGGTGATTTACAGCGAACGTTAGTTGAGCGTGGACAATCAGAGCCAAGCCGAAACATAACATGTAAAAAATGATATTTAAAAATATAAATTAATTTTTTTACGATAGAATGTAGTATTGTTATCAGTATGACATCAGTATACCGAGTTTGCAGTCGAAACCACACTGGGAAGTGGGTTAAAATCGAGTTACAAGATTTGAGGATACAACAACAGACAGAGTGAGTTAATGAACAAAAAAAAAACGTGTAAAATAGCGAACGGTTTAGCCGATACAAACTCCGCACGCAGAAAGCTGCCCGAGTTGCCAATCGAGCCCCCCCCCCCTCCCTCCCCCCCCCCCCCCCCCCGGGTCCTTTGCTTGCGCCGCGAGGCAACGGGCGCGGCCGCAGCGCCACCCTGCCGGGCCGTGAGCGTTGACGGGCCGCCGTACTGTCCCCCCGCAGCCTCGCCTGGGCTTTGGGCGCCCGGGCGCGATGCCGCCGCCCGTGAAGAGGAAGATGATGACGCCGCCGTCGGCGCTGGAGATGGGCGCGCAGGCCAAGCGGGCGCGCCCTCGCCACACACCCAGCCCCGCTCCGCTGCTCAAGACGGTGGCCCGCAGAGGCCACGGTCAGTGACACGCTCGCTCAAGTACTCCCTTGCTCACGTGCTCGCTCACTCACGTGCTCGCTCGCTCACTCACTCACATACTCCCTTGCTCACTCACTCGCTCACTCACGTGCTCGCTCACTCACTCACGTGCTCGCTCGCTCACTTATTCACGTGCTCACTCACATGCTCACTCACATGCTCGCTCACTCACTCACCCGCTCACTCACATGCTCGCTCGCTCACTCACATACTCCCTTGCTCACTCACTCGCTCACTCACATGCTCACTCGCTCACTCACATGCTCGCTCGCTCACTCACTCACGTGCTCGCTCACTTATTCACGTGCTCACTCACGTGCTCACTCACATGCTCGCGCATTCGCTCGCTCACGTACTCTCACGTGCTCGCTCACTCACGTGCTCGCTCGCTCACTCACATATTCCCTTGCTCACTCACTCGCTCACTCACATGCTCGCTCGCTCACTCACATATTCCCTTGCTCACTCGCTCACTCACATGCTCGCTTGCTCACTCACGTGCTCGCTCACGTACTCACGTGCTCGCTCACGTGCTCACTCACATGCTCACTCGCTCCCTCCCGTACTCACTCACTTACTCACGTACTCGCTCACTCACTCGCGCACTCACCCGCCCACACACTCTCCACATACTCATCCAAACGTTCATTTGCTCACTCATCACACACTCGTACGCCCGTCTGCTCATAATCTCGCTCGCACACTCATCCATACATACACAACACACGGACACAACCGCTTAAACAACCACTCACCACACTCTTCACATCCTCTCTCACATACCCATACACTAGTCTGCTCACTTATTCAAACATTTCTTTGCTCACCGGCTCGCTCGCTCAATTACACTTACACCACGGTGACTCATGTTATCCTGGATCACCACTTGTTTTTTTTCACTCGCTCATTCACCCGCTCACTCACTCATCAATGCACCAACTCATTCATTCACTCACACACCCATGAATGAGACCACATCACTCATTCACACTCGTCCACACACCACTCTCTCGCTCACACACCACAATACAACAACCGCCATTCACCAAGTGACGGTGACGTCACCACGGCACCTGTGCCAGGCCACACACTGCACTCACTCACCCACACACCGCACTCGCCCACACACCCCCACTCAATCACCCACACCGCACTCGCCCACACACCCCCACTCAATCATCCACACACCGCACTCGCCCACACACCCCTGTCACTCACTCACACACCTCGCTCACCCACACACCCCGCTCACCCACCCACACCCCACTCACTCATCCACACACCTCCACTCACTCACCCACACACCGCACTCACTCACCCACACACCCCCACTCACTCACCCACCCACACCCCTCTCACTCACTCACCCACCCACACCCCTCTCACTCACTCACCCACACACTCCACTCACCCGCACACCACTTCACACTGGGATTGACCCAATTGCTGCGCTTTGACCTGTGTGCGCGTGTGCATGTGTGTGCGTGTGTACACGTGTGTGCGTGTGTGTACACGTCTGTGTACATGTGTGTGTACACGTGTGTGCGTGCGTGCGCGTGTCACTCCGCAGTGTTTGCAGGAGGCAAGATGACACTTTTGGTGAGGACCCCCTGACCCCTGTGATGACCTCATGACCTCCGTTAACCCTCTGCCCATGACCCAGTGTCAGCCACTGCCTCTTGTTAAATGACACTTAACACACACTCACACCCTTTCACTCTCGCTCGCTCAGCCACTCGCCGCTCATTCTCTCTCTCTCACTACCACTCGCTCACTCCCAGCACGGACTCGTCCACTCACCCATTCACCCTTGCTCAACCACTTGTTCACTCGCCACTGTCTCATTCACTCATTGACACACCACTCGCTCCCTCATCCGCTCGACCGTTCACCAGCTCATTCAGGCACCCCTCATTCACCCCCCCCCCCCCATTCACCCTCGCTAATTCACACGCCACTCACTGATCCATATACCACACTCAAACCCGCTCATTCGCACACAACCACTGACTCACCCATCCGTTTACACACCACACAATCATTCACGCACCACTCGCTCACATTCACACACACACACAGGCATTCGCACAACCACTGACTCGCCCACCCCGTTCACACGCCCACACAATAACTCACAGGCCACTCGTTGGTCTCCATGCCAGCCCCTGCCAGGCACGGCAGGGTGTTGTAGGTAGTGGGCTGCAGAGGGCAGTGCAGCAAACACAATTGTTGGACTGTGCTTCTGTGCGTCCACATCCAGGTCAAGTACTGACCCTCTCCCCTCGCCCCGCTTTATGCATGGCATGGGGAGGCCCTCATCCAGCAGTGCACTGTACGTGTCTGTGAATAACACAGTTTGTGTGTGTGTGTGTCTGGTGCACGCGGTGCGTGTGCATGCGTGTGTGCACGCGGTGCGTGCCGGTGCCTCTGCGCGGTGCCTCCGTGCGGTGCCTGTGTGCGGTGCGTTGTTGAAACGCTGCGACTGTTGCAGGTGCCGCCGTCCTCCGGCGGTGCGCCAGTCCCGAGTTGCGGTGAGTTTGTTCGCGCGCCGCTCGTTCACCCGGCTTTCAGGAGCGTCCTGCCAAGTGTTTTTTTGCCGTGCGGGGGATGGGGTTCACGTTGAAAAGTTGCTGCTGCTGTAATGGAGTTAATTTTTTTTGGGTTGGATCGCGTGAATATATGAATGTGTCGGTAAAACCCGCCACCACCCAACACAGGCGAACAGAACGTGCCAATTCGTCACTAGTACAGCACTAGTGTATAGTGCAGTGTGCAAGTGTAGTGTATAGTGTAGTGTATAGTGTAGTGTATAGTAGTATATAGTGTAGTGTATAGTAGTGTATCGTAGTGTATAGTAGTATATAGTGTAGTGTATAGTAGTGTCGTGTATAGTAGTGTATAGTAGTATATAGTGTAGTGTATAGTAGTATATAGTGTAGTGTATAGTGTAGTGTATAGTAGTATATAGTGTAGTGTATAGTAGTGTATAGTAGTATATAGTGTAGTGTATAGTAGTGTATAGTAGTATATAGTGTAGTGTATAGTAGTGTATAGTAGTATATAGTGTAGTGTATAGTAGTGTAGTGTATAGTAGTATATAGTGTAGTGTATAGTCGTGTATAGTAGTGTATAGTAGTGTAGTGTATAGTAGTGTATAGTAGTGTAGTGTATAGTAGTGTAGTGTATAGTAGTGTCGTGTATAGTAGTGTAGTGTATAGTAGTGTACAGTAGTATATAGTGTAGTGTATAGTGTAGTGTATAGTAGTGTATAGTGTATAGTGTAGTGTATAGTAGTATATAGTGTAGTGTATAGTGCAGTGTAATAGTACAGCACACCGGTTTGTTGGAGAGCCAAGCCACAACATTTACAATCTGTGTACGACGCTCCGCCAGTAATTACAACTGGCTTCAGCAGGCGACAGCCGGATCTGCTGTTGTTGCTGTGATCCCAATTGAGTCAAATTGACGGTGAGATATTTCAACGGTGGGATGTTTGGCCAATAGTTTTGTGTCCGTGCGTGTGTACCAGTAACGATTATCTGAACATGGTTATGGGGCCTCCCCCTTGGTCGACTAGGCCTCAAATGAGTAATCCGGTGCGGTCTGTGGTAAACACCGGCATTGGGAAGACAAAGGCGGCCAGGCGTGGTGGTGCCGGCCACCCACCCCCTCGTGTGCCGTGCCGGCCTTCATAGGGTGCTGTTCTCTACCAGCGCTTACCCCAACAGTCTGTTACGGCTACACGGGGGATCTTTGTCTTTTTTTGCCGTAGGGTTTTTTCACACCTGATGACGACCGTTTGTGTTATGGTCGAAACGTCGTGAGAATTTTTTATTGTTTTATATATATATTTTATTGTTTCCCTTCAACGTGACTTTACCGAAAGAGCTAAGAATATGAATATCTTTGTGTGTGTTTGATTTTGAGCAATAATCGCCCTAAATCCATGTTGTTTCTGTCACTCGATTTTACATTAACACCCGCAGCTCCCCCCCCCCCCACCTCCTCGCCCTCCCCTCCTCTCCCTCCCCTCTCTTCCTCTCTCCATCCCCTCCTTCCTCCCTCCATCCCTTGCTTCCCTTTCTCCCTCCCCTCTCCCTCCTCTTCCTCCCTCCATCCCCTCCTTCCCTCTCTCTCCCTCCCTCCTCTCCCTCCCCTCCCTCTCCCCCTGGCTAGAGCGGTGCGGGGGTTTGAACGGAGCGCCGTGTCTTGTTGCAGATGAGGGCCGGCGTGGTTGTGAGATGCCTGAGAAGAACTGGTGAGTGGGGTCTTGCCGTGGAGCACTCCCATTGGCATAGCGGCCCGCGCAAGCGGATGTCACAGAGCTACCACTGAGATCCCTTCAGCTGACACTGATCCACGCGCAAGCGGATGTCACAGAGCTACCGCTGAGATCCCTTCAGCTGACACTGATCCACACGCAATCGGATGTCACAGAGCTGCCGCTGAGATCCCTTCAGCTGACACTGATCCACACGCAAGCGGATGTCACAGCTACCACTGAGATCCCTTCAGCTGACACTGATCCACACACAAGCGGATGTCACAGAGCTGCTTCTGAGATCCCTTCAGCTGACACTGATCCACACGCAAGCGGATGTCACAGAACTACCACTGAGATCCCTTCAGCTGACACTGATCCACACGCAAGCGGATGTCACAGAGCTACCGCTGAGATCCCTTCAGCTGACACTGATCCACACGCAAGCGGATGTCACAGAGCTACCACTGAGATCCCTTCAGCTGACACTGATCCACACGCAAGCGGATGTCACAGAGCTACCGCTGAGATCCCTTCAGCTGACACTGATCCACACGCAAGCGGATGTCACAGAGCTACCGCTGAGATCCCTTCAGCTGACACTGATCCACACACAAGCGGATGTCACAGAGCTACCACTGAGATCCCTTCAGCTGACACTGATCCACACACAAGCGGATGTCACAGAGCTACCACTGAGATCCCTTCAGCTGACACTGATCCACACACAAGAGGATGTCACAAAGCTGCCACTGAGATCCCTTCAGCTGACACTGATCCACACGCAAGCGGATGTCACAAAGCTGCCTCTGAGATCCCTTCAGCTGACACTGATCCACACACAAGCGGATGTCACAGAGCTACCACTGAGATCCCTTCAGCTGACGTTGATCCACACAAGCGGATGTCACAGAGCTACCATTGAGATCTCTTCAGCTGACACCGATCCACACACAAGCGGATGTCACAGAGCTACCACTGAGATCCCTTCAGCTGACACCGATCCACACACAAGCGGATGTCACAGAGCTACCACTGAGATCCCTTCAGCTGACACCGATCCACACACAAGCGGATGTCACAGAGCTACCACTGAGATCCCTTCAGCTGACACTGATCCACACGCAAGCGGATGTCACAGAGCTGCCTCTGAGATCCCTTCAGCTGACACTGATCCACACACAAGCGGATGTCACAGAGCTACCACTGAGATCCCTTCAGCTGACACTGATCCACACACAAGCGGATGTCACAGAGCTACCATTGAGATCCCTTCATCTGACACTGATCCACACACAAGCGGATGTCACAGAGCTACCACTGAGATCCCTTCAGTTGACGCTGATCCACACACAAGCGGATGTCACAGAGCTGCCTCTGAGATCCCTTCAGCTGACACTGATCCACGCACAAGCGGATGTCACAGAGCTACCGCTGAGATCCCTTCAGCTGACACTGATCCACACGCAAGCGGATGTCACAGAGCTACCACTGAGATCTGTTCAGCTGACACTGATCCACACGCAAGCGGATGTCACAGAGCTACCACTGAGATCCCTTCAGCTGACACTGATCTACACACAAGCGGATGTCACAGAGCTACCACTGAGATCCCTTCAGCTGACACTGATCCACACGCAAGCGGATGTCACAGAGCTGCCTCTGAGATTCCTTCAGCTGACACTGATCCACACACAAGCGGATGTCACAGAGCTACCACTGAGATCCCTTCAGCTGACACTGATCCACACACAAGCGGATGTCAGAGCTACCGTTGAGATCCCTTCAGCTGACACTGATCCACACGCAAGCGGATGTCACAAAACTACCGCTGAGATCCCTTCAGCTGACACTCATCCACACACAAGCGGATGTCACAGAGCTGCCTCTGAGATCTCTCAGCTGACACTGATCCACGCACAAGCGGATGTCACAGAGCTACAGCTGAGATCCCTTCAGCTGACAATGATCCACACACAAGCGGATGTCAGAGCTACCGTTGAGATCCCTTCAGCTGACACTGATCCACACACAAGCGGATGTCACAGAGCTACCGCTGAGATCCCTTCAGCTGACACTGATCCACACACAAGCGGATGTCACAGAGCTACCATTGAGATCCCTTCATCTGACACTGATCCACACACAAGCGGATGTCACAGAGCTACCACTGAGATCCCTTCAGCTGACACTGATCCACACACAAGCGGATGTCACAGAGCTACCATTGAGATCCCTTCATCTGACACTGATCCACACACAAGCGGATGTCACAGAGCTACCACTGAGATTCCTTCAGCTGACACTGATCCACACGCAATCGGATGTCACAGAGCTGCCTCTGAGATCTCTTCAGCTGACACTGATCCACACACAAGCGGATGTCACAGAGCTATTGAGATCCCTTCAGCTGACACTGATCCACACACAAGCGGATGTCACAGAGCTACCATTGAGATCCCTTCAGCTGACACTGATCCACACACAAGTGGATGTCACAGAGCTACCACTGAGATCCCTTCAGCTGACACTGATCCACACGCAAGCGGATGTCACAGAGCTACCACTGAGATCCCTTCAGATGACACTGATCCACACACAAGCGGATGTCACAGAGCTGCCTCTGAGATCCCTTCAGCTGACACTGATCCACACACAAGCGGATGTCACAGAGCTACCGCTGAGATCCCTTCAGCTGACACTGATCCACACACAAGCGGATGTCACAGAGCTGGGATCCACACAGAAGCGGATGTCACAGAGCTACCATTGAGATCCCTTCAGCTGACACTGATCCACACACAAGCGGATGTCACAGAGCTACCACTGAGATCCCTTCAGCTGACACTGATCCACACGCAATCGGATGTCACAGAGCTACCACTGAGATCCCTTCAGCTGACACTGATCCACACGCAATCGGATGTCACAGAGCTGCCTCTGAGATCTCTTCAGCTGACACTGATCCACACGCAAGCGGATGTCACAGAGTTACCATTGAGATCCATTCAGCTGACACTGATCCACACGCAAGCAGATGTAACAGAGCTACCACTGAGATCCCTTCAGCTGACACTGATCCACACGCAAGCGGATGTCACAGAGCTACCACTGAGATCCCTTCAGCTGACGCTGATCCACACACAAGCGGATGTCACAGAGCTACCACTGAGATCCCTTCAGCTGACACTGATCCACACGCAAGCGGATGTCACAGAGCTACCACTGAGATCCCTTCAGCTGACGCTGATCCACATGCAAGTGGATGTCACAGAGCTACCACTGAGATCCCTTCAGCTGACATTGATCCACACACAAGCGTATGTCACAGAGCTACCACTGAGATCCCTTCATCTGACACTGATCCACACACAAGCGGATGTCACAGAGCTACTGCTGAGATCCCTTTCTTCCTTCAAGTCTGACTGCTTTGCACTCTATGGAGGGGATCTTTGTGTGCGATTGATAGAGATGCAAAGGATGTGTGTGTGCTTGTGGTGTGCGAGTGGTGCGTGTGTGTGTATGGTGCGTGTGGTGTGTATGCATGTTGTGTGGGCATGGTGCGTGCGAGGTGCGAGGTGCGTGTGGGGTGTATGCATGTTGTGTGGGCATGGTGCGTGCGAGGTGCGAGGTGCGTGTGGTGTGTATGCATGTTGTGTGGGCATGGTGCGTGCGAGGTGCGTGTGGTGTGTATGCATATTGTGTGGGCGTGGTGCGTGCGTGTGAGTGGGAGGTGCGTGTGGTGTGTATGCATGTTATGTGGGCGTGGTGCGTGCGTGTGTGTGGTGTGTATGCATGTTGTGTGGGCGTGGTGCGTGCGTGTGCGAGGTGCGTGTGGTGTGTATGCATGTTGTGTGGGCGTGGTGCGTGTGTGTGCGAGATGTGTGTGGTGTGTATGCATGTTGTGTGGGCGTGGTGCGTGCGAGGTGCGTGTGGTGTGTATGCATGTTATGTGGGCGTGGTGCGTGTGTGTGTGTGGTGTGTATGCATGTTGTGTGGGCATGGTGCGTGCGTGTGCGAGGTGCGTGTGGTGTGTATGCATGTTGTGTGGGCGTGGTGCGTGTGTGTGCGAGATGTGTGTGGTGTGTATGCATGTTATGTGGGCGTGGTGCGTGCGTGTGTGTGGTGTGTATGCATGTTGTGTGGGCATGGTGCGTGTGGTGTGTATGCATGTTGTGTGGGCGTGGTGCGTGTGTGTGCGAGGTGCGTGTGGTGTGTATGCATGTTGTGTGGGCGTGGTGCGTGCATGCGTGTGGTGTGTATGCATGTTGTGTGGGCGTGGTGCGTGTGCGAGGTGCGTGTGGTGTGTATGCATGTTGTGTGTGTGAGGTGCGTGCGTGTCACGTGCGCGTGGTGACGGTAATGCACCGCGACGGTCTGGGCGTCTCCCTGTGTGCGGTGGCGGCGGCGGCGGTGCAGGCTGACGCTGCACTGCGCTCTGTGCTCGTTCCGCACGCTGCACGCCGCCGAGATGGAGGAGCACTACGGCGGGGAGCTGCACGGCAGCAGCCTGGGCCTGCTGCGCCAGGCGCACGCCAGCGACTCGCGCGTCGTCGACTTCCTGCACGTGAGGGCCCCCCTCCAACCCACCACCACCACCACGCGAGGAACGATACAGCACATTGCACCACAGTGTGGTGTTGGTGACGATGCTGTGATGATGTATTTACTTATACCGTGATGACAGCGGTGGTGATGGCATGGTGACAGTGCCGGTGAGGGTGCTTGTAATAATGACGCTGATGGTGATGATGTTTCTGATGGTGATGCCGCTGATGACGATGCTGATGATGTTGCTTATGATGATGATGTGTTTGCTGATGGTGATGTTCCTGATGGTGGTGATGTTGCTGCTGATGGCGGTGATGATGATGTTGCTGCTGATGGTGGTGGTGATGTTGCTGATGGTGGTGGTGATGATGATGGTGATGATGATGCTGCTGATGGTGGTGGTGATGTTGCTGATGGTGGTGATGGTGGTGGCGATGTTGCTGAATGGTGGTGATTCTGCTGCTGGTGGTGGCGATGTTGTTGATGGTGGTGATGCTGCTGATGGTGGTGGCGATGATGCTGCTGATGGTGGTGGCGATGATGTTGTTGATGGTGGTGATGATGTTGCTGATGGTGGTGATGATGTTGCTGATGGTGGTGATGATGTTGCTGATGGTGGTGATGATGTTTCTGATGGTGATGCCGCTGATGAGGATGCTGATGATGTTGCTTATGATGATGGTGATGTGTTTGCTGATGGTGGTGATGTTCCTGATGGTGGTGATGTTGCTGCTGATGGTGATGATGATGTTGCTGATGGTGGTGGTGATGATGATGATGGTGATGATGATGCTGCTGATGGTGGTGATGTTGCTGATGGTGGTGATGGTGGTGGCGGTGTTGCTGAATGGTGGTGATTCTGCTGCTGGTGGTGGCGATGTTGTTGATGGTGGTGACGCTGCTGATGGTGGTGGTGATGTTGCTGATGGTGGTGAAGATGATGCTGCTGATGGTGGTGATGATGTTGCTGATGGTGGTGGCGATGTTGCTGATGGTGGTGGCGATGTTGCTGATGGTGGTGATGCTGCTGATGGTGGTGGCGATGATGCTGCTGATGGTGGTGGCGATGATGTTGTTGATGGTGGTGATGATGTTGCTGATGGTGGTGATGATGTTGCTGATGGTGGTGATGATGTTGCTGATGGTGGTGATGATGTTTCTGATGGTGATGCCGCTGATGACGATGCTGATGATGTTGCTTATGATGATGATGGTGATGTGTTTGCTGATGGTGGTGATGTTCCTGATGGTGGTGATGTTGCTGCTGATGGTGGTGGTGATGATGATGTTGCTGATGGTGGTGGTGACGATGATGGTGATGATGATGCTGCTGATGGTGGTGGTGGTGATGTTGCTGATGGTGGTGATGGTGGTGGTGATGTTGCTGATGGTGGTGAAGATGATGCTGCTGATGGTGGTGATGATGTTGCTGGCGGTGGTGATGATGTTGCCGATGGTGGTGGCGATGTTGCTGATGGTGGTGATGCTGCTGATGGTGGTGGCGATGATGTTGTTGATGGTGGTGATGATGGTGGTGATGATGTTGCTGATGGTGGTGGTGATGCTGCTGATGGTGGTGGTGATGCTGCTGATGGTGGTGGCGATGTTGCTGATGATGGTGGTGCTGATGTTGCTGATGGTGGTGGCGATGTTGCTGATGATGGTGGTGGTGCTGATGTTGCTGATGGTGGTGGCGATGTTGCTGCTGATGGTGGTGGTGATGTTGCTGATGGTGGTGGTGATGTTGCTGATGGTGGTGGTGGTGGTGATGTTGGTGGCGATGTTGCTGATGATGGTGGTGGTGGTGATGTTGCTGACGGTGGTGGTGATGTTGCTGGCAGGAGTGCACCGTTCACAAGAATCGGCGGATGTCCAAACGGCGCCAACAAATGAACATCCCTGATGGACGCGTTCCCATGAAGGGTGAGCGAGCGTGTGTTGACGCCTGTGTGAGTCTCTGTGTGAGTCTATGGGTCTCTGAGTCTGTGTGAGTCTACGGGTCTCTGTGTGAGTCTATGGGTCTCTGTGTGAGTCTTTGGGTCTCTGTGTGAGTCTATGGGTCTCTGTGTGAGTCTATGGGTCTGTGTAAGTCTATGGGTCTGTGTACGTGTGTATCTCTGTGTGAGTCTATGGGTCTCCGTGTAAGTTGCCAAGACATTGTAGTAGTGCTTCGACATTCAAATCTTTACACGAATGCTGGCTTACCATGTCTTTCTGTCTCCTTGTGTCTCTGTCTCCATGTCCATCTCCTCCCGTGGTGTCCTTGTCTCCGTGTCCATCTCTTACCCCCCGTGTCTCCCCCTCCGTGTCTCCCCCTGCGTGTCTCCGTGTCCGTGTCTCCCCCTCCGTGTCTCCCCCTGCGTGTCTCCCCGCCCGTGTCTCCCCCTCCGTGTCTCCCTGTCCGTGTCTCCGCCTCCGTCTCTTACCCCCCGTGTCTCCCCCTCCGTGTCTCCCCCTCCGTGTCTCTCCCTCCGTGTCTCCCTGTCCGTGTCTCCCCCTCTGTGTCTCCCTGTCCGTGTCTCTCCCTCCGTGTCTCCCCCTGCGTGTCTCCCCCCCCGTGTCTCCCCGTGTCTCCCCCCCCCGTGTCTCCCCCGCCGTGTCTCCCCCCCCGTGTCTCCCCCTCCGTGTCTCCCCCTGCGTGTCTCCCCCTGCGTGTCTCCCCCGCCGTGTCTCCCCCCCCGTGTCTCCCCCTGCGTGTCTCCCCCCCCGTGTCTCCCCCTCCGTGTCTCCCCCCCCCGTGTCTCCCCCTCCGTGTCTCCCCGCCGTGTCTCCCCCTCCGTGTCTCCCCCTCCGTGTCTCCCCCCTCCGTGTCTCCCCCCCCGTGTCTCCCCCTCCGTGTCTCTCCGTGTCTCCCCCTCCGTGTCTCCCCCCGCGTGTCTCCCCCTCCGTGTCTCCCCCTCCGTGTCTCCCCTTCCGTGTCTCCCCCCGCCGTGTCTCCCCGTGTCTCTCCCTCCGTGTGTCTCCGTGTCTCCCGCGCCGTAGACGTCCAGCCGGACCTGTGCCTGCGCCAGGTGTCGCTGTCCCACTGCCTGGCCTGTGATGTCTTCATGCCGCTCGACCCCAGCTCCGTGCAGGAGCACGTCAAGTCGGAGTGTCACATCGCCCGCAAGGAGGTGACCTGGCCCTACGCTCGCTCTCTCTCTCTGTCGTCTGTTGTTATTGTCATTCACACGCGCACGTGCGTTGTTGTCGGAATTTGAATGGGGGGTCATAAATTTCGATTTAAAGCTTTCGTGACTGCAAGGATTCATCTTCTTTGGTTCTCTCGGTAAAGTCACCACCACGTAGAATGAGAATAAAATAATAAATTAATGAAATAAAATAACACAATAAAATTCTCACGACGTTTCGGCCACAACACAAGTGGCCTTCATCAGGTGAAGGGACGAGACTGTCTCGAGGACAGCGCTGGAGCGGGGGGTCATCGGAACCGGGGGGGGGGGGGGTGGGGGTGGGGGGGAGCGGTCCGTCTGTTCTCCGATCTGTGGTCAGACTTTAACCACCCCCCTTCCCGTCCCGATGCACGCTGTACATCATCGCGATGTTGTGGCGTGTATGCTGTGCGTGCGTGCAAGCTCATAGCACCAGCGCCGTGGTGACGTCACCGCCGCTTAGTGGTCAACGGAGGTCGTTGTTGTACGTTTGTGCTGTGCGCGTGTGTGCGTGGTGTGTGTGTGTGTGTGTGCGTGGTGTGTGTGTGTGTGTGTGCATGGTGTGTGTGTGTGTGTGTGCGTGGTGTGTGTGTGTGTGTGTGCGTGCGTGTGTTTGTGTGTGAGCGGTGGTGTACCGGTTAGCGCTACGCTGCGCTATGAACCTGGCGACCCGGGTTCGATTCCCGCTCACGGCCAACACCAAGTGACGATTATCTGAACCGGTCCCGGGCCTCCCCTAGGTCGACTCAGCCTCAAATGAGTACCTGGTGCGGTGTGTAAACATCGCCACTGGGGAGACAAAGGCGGTCGGGCGTGGTGCTGGCCACCCACCCCCTCGTGTACCGTTCCTGCCTTCGTAGGTGCTCGCTAACAGCACTTGCCCCTACAGTCTGTTAAGGCTACACGGGGGATCTTTGTCTTTGCGCTACGAACCCGGCGACCCGAGTTCCGTTCCACGCTCTCGCGGCCAGCACCACCAGCGACGATCATCTGAACCGGTCCCGGGGCCTCCCACTAGGGTCGACTCGGCCTCAAACGAGTTACCCGGTGCAGCGGCGTGTGTGGTTAAACGCCAACGCCGCTGGGGACGCGAGGCACCTTCGGGGCGTGGTGCTGGCCGCCCACCCCCCTTGTCGTGCACCGCAGCGGCGGCCTTGAACGGTGCCGTTGCTCGCTGACGGCACTTGCCCCCAACAGTCTGTTGGTGGGCTGTGTACCGGCGGGCGGGCGCGGGGGTCTTCGTGCGCGCTTGCTCCACGCGCGCGTTTGCCGCTGTTGCGCCTGCGAGTTGCCGCCCTCGGCGTGTCTCGGCGCAGGTGTACGAGGCGGCCAGGAGCCAGACGGTGCAGCAAGTAGCTCGACACCTCATCTCCAATAAAGGCACCCGCGCCAAGTTTGAGATGTACAAGAAGGTGAGCTTCAGGACGCCCGGGTTCTACTCCGGGTTTCAGCCGCGCGCCCGCTCAGTGAGCCGGAGACTCGCACGGACGCCCGTAGGCTCGCTCAAGAGACCCGCGCTTACACAGAGACCCACACTTACACAGAGACCCATCGACTCGCTCGGAGAGCCATAGACTTGCATGAAGAGGCGTAGACTTACGCAGAGCCATAGGCTTGTTCAGACATCCAAAGACTCACAAAGGGAGCCATTGACACGCACAGAGACCCATTGACTCGCACAGAGAGCTATAGACTCACTCAGAGAACCATAGACTCACTCAGAGAGCCATAGACTCACACAGAGAGCCATAGACTCACTCAAAGAGCCATAGACTTGCACAGACATCCATAGACTCGCAAAGAGAGCCATAGACTCACACAGATAACCATAGACTCACTCAGAGAGCCATAGACTCACTCAAAGAGCCATAGATTTGCACAGACATCCATAGACTCGCACAGAAAGCCATAGACTCACACAGAGAACCATAGACTCACTCAGAGAGCCATAGACTCACACAGAGAGCCATAGACTCACTCAAAGAGCCATAGACTTGCACAGACATCCATAGACTCGCAAAGAGAGCCATAGACTCACACAGATAACCATAGACTCACTCAGAGAGCCATAGACTCACTCAAAGAGCCATAGATTTGCACAGACATCCGTAGACTCGCAAAGAGAGCCATAGACTCACACAGAGAGCTATAGACTCACTCAGAGAGCCATAGACTCACTCAAAGAGCCATAGACTTGCACAGACATCCATAGACTCGCACAGAGAGCTATAGACTCACACAGAGAACCATAGACTCACTCAGAGAGCCATAGACTCACTCAAAGAGCCATAGACTTGCACAGACATCCATAGACTCACACAGAGAGCCATAGACTCACACAGAGCTATAGACTCACTCAGAGAGCCATAGACTCACTCAAAGAGCCATAGACTTGCACAGACATCCATAGACTCGCACAGAGAGCCATAGACTCACACAGATAACCATAGACTCACTCAGAGAGCCATCGACTCACACAGAGAGCCATAGACTCACACAGAGACTCATAGACTCGCACACAGAGAGCCATAGACTCACACAGAGAACCATAGACTCACTCAGACATCCATAGACTCACACAGAGAGCCATAGACTCACACAGAGACTCATAGACTCGCACACAGACATCCATAGACTCGCACAGAGAGCCATAGACTCACTCAGACATCCATAGACTCACACAGAGACTCATAGACTCACACAGAGACTCATAGACTCACACAGATAGTCATAGACTCACACAAACCGAGTTGCTGCAAGTTGAGGGTCTGAGCCCGGCCACCAAAAAATAATCTCCGACTTAAAAATGTCGTTCCGCACTCACTGTTTGCCTGAACTCCCAGCCTTGTAAATGAATCCCACACACACACACAACCTCTCACGACCTCTCAACCACAGGGAGAAGATCCATTCTCAAAGGAGGACGATGACAAGAACAACACTGGTGAGGACGAGGTTGAAGAGGGGGAGGTGGGAGAGGACGAGGAGGAGGAAGATGACGACGAGGAGGAGGAGGAGGAAGCTATCGATTATACCAACACCGACACGGCCACCGTCGCTAGCACCACCACTACAGCCGCCGCCGCTAGCACCACCACTACAGCCGCCGCCGCTAGCACCACCACTACAGCCGCCGCCGCCGCCGCCGAGCCCAAAGAAGCAGCGCCAACGCCGAAGCGCGGCAGCGGCGAGCGCAAGCGCGGCAGCGGCGAGCGCAAGCGCAGCAGCAGCAGCGGCAGCAGCGGCAGCGGCAGCAGCGGCAGCGGGAGCAGCAGCAGCAGCGGCGGCAGCAGCAGCGGCGGCAGCAGCAGCAGCGGCGGCAGCAGCAGCAGCAGCGGCGCAGGCGGGGGGCGAGACACGGACGCGATATTGGGCTCGGACGACGACGCGACCGCCGGCGCGGCGCCGGCGAAAGAAGCCGACGGTGACGTTGACGAGGACGCCCTGCTCAAGCCGGAGCCGGAGCCGGAGCCGGCGCCGGCGGAGCCGGCGGCGCAACCGCCCGGCCTCGAACCCGGGGCGGCGGAGTCGGCAGACGGCGGAACGAGCGGCGACGGGGGCCAGAGAGATCTGCCTCGAACGCCGTCGGGATCCCCGCCGCCCGGGACGCCGGCCGCCCCGGAGCCGGAGCCGGAGCCGGCGGCGAAAGCGTTGGAGGAGGGGCCGGGAGAGAAGAAGGAGGATGAGAAGGAGGGAGATGGTGCCGAGGAGGAGGAGGCGGAGGCGGTGGCGGCGGCGGGCAGAGCGGTGACGCCGGGGCGCCGGGGCAAGCCCAGGGTTGGCACGAGCGGAGGGAGCGAGGGAAAGAGCCGGCGCGGGCGCAGGTCCAAGGCCAAGTAAAAGAGGGGCGGGCGATGAGGGGCGGGCGATGTGGGGTCGGGAAAAGCTCGGGGGGGGGGGAGGAGACTCGGGGAAGTCGATTGAGGATTCCTTGGGAAGATTTGCGAATTGTCCCAGGGAAAAAGGTCCCGTTGGGAAGCTCGGAATTTTCCCGGGAAAGACGCAGGCAGGACCGGGGGGGGGGGGAGGGGGATGCAAGGATGCCCGAGAAGAACCCAGGAAGGCTTGGGGAACGCTTGGAGGAAGGAATTCAAAGGATCGAGGAGGCCTGGGAGGGCTCGAGAGAGAAGACCCAAGGGAGTTCGGGAAGATAACAAACGTGGGGATTTGGAGTGTCTTGGCTCGGCAAGTATCTGGAATGCCGCCCCCCCCCAACCACGTAGCCTCAACAGAACCTGTGGGAAAGCCTTGGAAGGTCCCAAGACGGCGATGTGGAAGGGGCCCCCCCCGGGGGAAGGCTTCGTGAAGGCCGCCCTCGCAATTAGACCCTTTTGTGTTCACAGACAGTGCTCATAAATAACCTCGTAGAATTTTATTTAGTGATTTAGTAAAACATTAGTCGACGTTTTGCCCTCGATTTAGTTTGACGTTTTGTATGTTTGCCATCGTCGTGAACGTTGTCGTCATTGTCGTTTTTTGTACGAGCCGGTGGGGGGGGGGGGTGGGGGGGGTGGGGGGCTGGGGGGGGGCTGGGGGGCTGTGCGCGCCATCGCCCGGCGTTGGTTGGGGTCAGGGGTTATGCAGGGTGGTGGTGGATGGGGGGGGGGGGGGCGGCGTCTCGATTGGACGCCGATTTGCCGTCGTCTCTTTTTTTTCGCCGCATTCTCCTCCGGATCGTTGTGAACCGCAACACGTTGGAGCCACCGATCCCTGCGGAGGGTCGCGGTGGCGGTTCCGCGATCCGACGACCGGCGGACCCGCGGCGCCGGTGGTTAATTCCCACGGGGCGTTTCGGGTCCCTCGTAAGCCGTCGTTCGCAAGAGCCCCGGGGGCCGCCGCGGTGTTGCCACCGTACGTAGACAGCGGTCCTCATCGGAGGTGCCGGGGGCGGTGTAGGGGGGGGGGGGGGGGGGAAGGACGACAAATTATTCGTAATAAAGGTTTTTGTTCGGAAAAGTTGTTGTTAACCCGCCCCCATCACCCGGCACGGCCAGTTAGCAAGGTTGCATCACAATTCTGACAGCAATCGCTCGATGATGCCGGATGTAATTACCGGAGGACTGTCACAGTTCTGAAATCGTAAACGTGGATTTACTCTCCAACACGCCGGTGGGCTGTACTAGTAACCAATTGGCCGCTCGTTGTCTACGTAACAAACCTTAATAATTGGCTGTCGGGGTGGTGGCAGGTTAGCGACACATCTATACTTGCGCGATCTTAGCCCAATTACATTTGATTATGAATCGCATTGGTCGCGAAAGCCTACGTGTCAAACTGACAGCAGGCAAACACGCAACAACAACAGCAGCAAGAGAAGCAGTTGTAGAGAAATTCGTTTCTTGATGACAGCGCCAATACCAGACATCCTCTGTCGTCGTTAATTGTAACTACCGTCATCATCCCTGTAAGAAGCTCGCTCGAAAGTAAACCGACAATTTAGACAAGACCCTCAACCTCCTCTCCAAGAAGAAGCCAGATCCAGACATTTAAAAGTTAGATGGTAACAAGATTGTTATCGATCAGAGCAACAGCCCAATTTCCGACAGCCTAAAATCGGTTCTGGCTAAAGGGTTGAATTTCGCAGTCACCCCTAAACACATCCCACTTGATGATATCATTGTCCAGGTCGACGTAGACCTAAAGGGTTTGGGACACATTCCTACAGACGTAGCAAGATCGTAAATCGCTGCAATCCACAAAAACGCTGAGACACCGATTAGCAACATCAGCAAGGAGGAGCGCCTTGAACTCTCTCAACTAAAAAAGAGAGATGATATAGTCATCCTCTCAGCCGACAAGGGCAACGCCGCTGTCAGCATGGACAAAACCACATACAATAACAAAATTCAGGACCTACTTAATGATGGTAGCTATACCACAATTAATAGAGATCCTACCAACCGCCTGGTTACGAAAACCAACAGCATCACTGATTCGACGTCTTTAATCGAACCAACCAAGCGGTTTTCCTTAAAACCCTCCACTGCTAGACCACCCAGATTTTATGGCTTGCCAAAAATCCATAAAGAAGGTACACCACTCCGTCCTATCGTCTCCACCATTGGCTCACCCACCCACAAACTGGCCAGATTTCTGTCTTAGACCTTGCAACCATTCACTGGTAAGACCACCTCGGCTGTGCTTAACTCAGCTCACTTTGTTTCTTCAATTAAGGACATCTCACTATCTCCAGGTGATTTACTTGTCAGTTTCGATGTGGTATCTTTGTTTACCAACGTTCCTGTGCCTGACACCATTAACAATCGTTGAAGATTTGGTCCAACAAGGACTGAATGCTGATGTATCTGCCCTGGTTAGACACTGCCTCACCAACACTTGCTTCACCTGGAATGGAACATTCTACAAACAAGTTGAAGGTACCCCAATAGGCTCTCCCTTATCTCCAGTTTTAGCCAATGTTTTCATGGAGAAATATGAGACAGATGCTATCCAGGCATCTACCCTACATCCTTGTGGAAGAGGTACGTACAGTGAGGGAAATAAAGTATTTGATCCCCTGCTGATTTTGTACGTTTGCCTACTGACAAATTATCAGTCTATAATTTTAATGGTAGGTTTATTTGAACAGTGAAAAAATAACAACAAAATCCAGAAAAATGCATGTCAAAAATGTTATTAATTGATTTGCATTTTAATGAGGGAAATAAGTATTTGACCCCTCTGCAAAACATGACTTAGTACTTGGTGGGAAAACCCTTGTTGGCAATCGCAGAGGTCAGACGTTTCTTGTAGTTGGCCACCAGGTTTGCACACATCTCAGGAGGGATTTTGTCCCACTCTTTGCAGATCTTCAAGTCATTAAAGTTTCGAGGCTGACGTTTGGCAACTCGAACCTTCAGCTCCCTCCACATTTTCTATGGGATTAAGGTCTGGGGACTGGCTAGGCCACTCCAGGACCTTAATGTGCTTCTTCTTGAGCCACTCCTTTGTTGCCTTGGCCGTGTGTTTTGGGTCATTGTCATGCTGGAATTCCCATCCACGACCCATTTTCAATGCCCTGGCTGAGGGAAGGAGGTTCTCACCCAAGATTTTACAGTACATGGCCCCGTCCATCGTCCTTTTGATCCGGTGAAGTTGTCCTGTCCCCTTAGCAGAAAAACCCCCCAAAGCATAATGTTTCCACCTCCATGTTTGACGGTGGGGATGGTGTTCTTGGGGTCATAGGCAGCATTCCTCCTCCAAACACGGCGAGTTGAGTTGATGCCAAAGAGCTCCATTTTGGTCTCATCTGACCACAACACTTTCACCCAGTTGTCCTCGGAATCATTCAGATGTTCATTGGCAAACTTCAGACGGGCATGTATATGTGCTTTCTTGAGCAGGGTGACCTTGCAGGCGCTGCAGGATTTCAGTCCTTCACGGCGTAGTGTGTTACCAATTGTTTTCTTGGTGACTATGGTCCCAGCTGCCTTGAGATCGTTGACAAGATCCTCCCGTGTAGTTCTAGGTTGATTTCTCACCGTTCTCATTGCAACTCCACGAGGTGAGATCTTGCATGGAGCCCCAGGCCGAGGGAGATTGACAGTTCTTTTGTGTTTCTTCCATTTGCGAATAATCGCACCAACTGTTGTCACCTCACCAAGCTGCTTGGCAATGGTCTTGTAGCCCATTCCAGCCTTGTGTAGGTCTACAATCTTGTCCCTGGTATCCTTGGAGAGCTCTTTGGTCTTGGCCATGGTGGAGAGTTTGGAATCTGATTAATTGATTGCTTCTGTGGACAGGTGTCTTTTATACAGGTAACAAGCTGAGATTAGGAGCACTGTAAGAGTGTGCTCCTAATCTCAGCTCGTTACCTGTATAAAAGATACCTGGGAGCCAGAAATCTTTCTGATTGAGAGGGGGTCAAATACTTATTTCCCTCATTAAAATGCAAATCAATTTATAACATTTTTGACATGCGATTTTCTGGATTTTTTTGTTATTGTCTCTCACTGTTCAAATAAACCTACCATTAAAATTATAGACTGATCATTTCTTTGTCAGTGGGCAAACGGGTAATATCAGCATGGGATCAAATACTTTTTTTCCCTCACTGTAGATTATACGTTCGTCATCTGGCCACATAGCCTACCAGCTCTGGACCAATTCTTCAACCACATCAATTCCATACACCAAGCCATCAAATTCACCATGGAGGTGGAAAAGGATGGCAAGTTACCATTGGACGTTTAAATCGAAAAGAGACTGATGGCTCAATGGGGACACTGTCTACAGGAAAGCCACCCACACGGATGCCTAACTAAAACCTGACTCCCACCACCATCCATCCCAGAAGAATTTCCTAATCAAAACTCTACACCATAGAGCTCAATGTATTTCTGACCATCGCCACCTAGCCCTCAAGATGAATGGGTATTCAGACTACACAATCCATAAAGCTATCACCCCAACCGTTGGGAAAGAACCATCTGAGGACCCAATCAAAACCATCACCCTGCCATACATTGCAGGGGTCACCAAAAAGATTTCCAAAATCATGAGCAAGTACAAAATCCAGGTACGGTTCAACACAGTACATAAAATTCGTGATTTGATCCCATCTGTGAAGGATGTGATCCCTGACATGCAATACCCCGGTGTCTACAAACTAAGCTGTGTCTGCAGCACATTGGGGAAACTAAACGACATGTCTCGGACTGGATTCGTGAACACAAGGCAGATCTGAAACACAGTAGGACCAATACCTCAGCCGTGGCTGATCATTATTTTAACGCGGTGGGCACACGAAATTGATTTTGCCAAGACGAAGGTACTCTGCAAACCCATGGGCTATCAGCAATGATTCGTTCATGAAGCCATCCAGATATATAAACAGACAA